CTTGATAATTAGTGTTAGTAGTTGTATTTTGCCAGCAAATGTAACAGTATAAATTCATGCACTTGCGGGAATTTTAATTCACTTGTTTAAATAAGTATATGGATCAAAGACGTGGTAATTTCGTTGGTGAGTTTTTTTTTCTTCTATAAATAAATGGCATTAATTAGTTAAATTAAACTTTATTCTAATTACTTGTCACAGTTGATCAAAAATGAGCTACTCGGTAACAGTATTGAACAATTGTGAATATTTTGATGAAGATATAAAACTTCTTCATACTTGGCTCGCGTTCAATTCTCCAAACGGAAATGAATATTTTAGCTTCGGCCCACCAAATCTATTGTGTGCTTTCACGAAAGCTTGCGAAGGTGTATCTACCGTCAATGAACGTTTGAAAACCAGAAGATACACTGAAGCAATACCTTTCGAAATTACGGAAGACGAATATTGTAAAATGTTGCGAGCCGGCGAACAACTATATGATGAGCGTTTTAAGTATGCTGCGAAACCAAAAAATGGCCATTTGAACTGCACGGTTGCTGCACGTAAAGTCTTGAATGCTGTCAATATTGACTTACTTGATGATATTGAAACTCCAAAAGGGTTGAGTAGCAAAGTTAGAGGAAAACCGGAATACAAATCCGATGACGCCAAATGCGCTCTTTTGGCGGATACATTGCCTGATTTAGTATCGTTTCTTGCTGTATTAGCTGTTGTTGGTGGTACAATATACGCCGTTCATCGTATATCGAACAGAAAAAACAAACAGTAACAGAAATGTTGCCATCAAGAAGTAAATGTTGATTGAAAAACAAAGGTCAATAAAAGAAATTACATATAAAAAAGGTCCGCATTTTCTTTTTACTATTCTCTTGAGAATAAATTCATTGACATATATATTAACTTATTTATCTGTAGCAAAAAGTAATCAAATCCTCTGAAACTGAAGACATATGCAAACTTTTCGTTTCTTTCTACCGCTTACTTCTACAACATTCTAAATTGAATGAGTCATAATGCAATCGACCGGCAAGTCATATTTTATGAAAAATTCGTTTAGAAGTAAAATTGTTTTTTATTGTGTCGCCACATGAAGAAACTGGTAGCGAGAATTAGCATTCAAATAGGATAGATTTAAAAAGAAATATAAATGCAGGGGACATTTGTATGTTTTTTTAAATCCACCGCCATTCAAATTACGAATGAAATGTCATACACGAGTGAGGTTATGTTTGTGTGTTTTGGTGCAAACTTCAGATTCGTTTACTTGTCATCGTCATTAATGATTCCTTCAGTGATTTGATAAACCAAAACAAAGTGTTTATAAAGTTATTTGTTTATTTAATATTTCAAACAGTAAAACATGTTCAATTTGCATTCAAAACCATTAAAAATATGACAAAAAAGAAAAATGAACAGCGGCATATGTGCGAAACGGTTTTTTTTCTATAATATTTTCACTTGCCCATGAAAAAATTTCATAACAAAAAAAAATCTCGTGATAGAAAAATGTATATATTGTTCTGTTCTTTAGACAAAATCGTGCATGGGAAAAGGACAGACGAGATCGATTGAACACCACATTCGAAAAACTAGCCAAACTTCTGCCGGAGTATCGACCGAAAGTGACTTTTAGTAAAATTGAAATTCTACATAAAACCATTGTTTACATTGAGGATCTGCGAAAAAAGCTACGTGATGTGCTATCGACACAAAATGAATCTATATTCAGTATGTGTACCGATCTTTCTTTTTTTTCTATTCATTTTTTTTTCTAAATTTATATTTTCGTTACAGAAACCCAAGATGAGCTTGAGGCGAGTCTCAAGGCGCTTGTGTCACAGAATAACGATTTAGTGGAATTACTGCAAAAGTCAAATATTAAAGTGCCGCACTTTGTTGAACCGAAATTCCTTAGTTTCATTGTATCCGTGCATGGTGCAGAGCGAAGCGATGAAGAAGAAAAAAGTGATAAAGACGCCAGCAAATCGGCCACTTCCAATGAACTCAACCAAAATCAGCCACAGACAAAATCGAATGTCAAACCGAAAGAGGTGATTCAAAATCCAGTACAAATAAATAAAGAGTTGAATGGCACGAAAACTACCAATTCGTCTGAGAGCTCCGATTCAAAGTCTCTTCCCAAAACTCAGCTAAATATTTCGCCAGTACTGAACGAGGTGCAATCGTTTGGTTCAGTCGATCTGATACCAGTGAGCAGTGATTCATCACGACCAGAGTTCAAGATGCATGAACAACCTGTGAAAAATTTCGTCGAAATAACACCATTGCTCAATAATCAAAATGAAAAATTATCGTTACAATCGGAAAAGTCCATTGATCTACCGAAACGGAAAGAACCATCAAGCATACAAGGTTTGATTTAATTCCACTTTAAAATCTCCTTTAAAACGTCGAATTCCTTTGAACATTAATGAATTGAAATATTTTTTTTTCTTCAGAATCAAAGATTGAAAAGAGATCATCTGATGTTTCGGTGATATTGAATATGGCTCAATCATCAGACAGCAAAATAACAAAAGCGGAAAAATCAAATGAAAATATTTCTGAAAAACAAGCCGTGGAAAAACCCAAGAATAAGCCGAAGGCATCTCCTAACGAAGCTCAAGCAAGTTCACACTGTGATAAAAAATCCACGGCAAAGAAGCAAAATGTTCAAGAGCGAAAAACGAATCCACCAAATGTGCAAACAACAAATATTGTACAGACCGAATCGGCAAAAGTATCGAAGCCTACAACTGTTATGCCTGTTTGTTCGGTAACTGAGCAAAACAAGGCCACAATAAGTGATACCATCAATCCAAATACCAACGCAGGTACAATCAGTGGAATGAATTCTGGGAAAAAGGTGGAACATCTCATGCTGCCAAAGGATTTGAGTGTAAATATATCGAATGAAAAAGATTTATCCGATGAGATATTCGGCAATTTTCCGTTGCCACAAACACCGAATGAGTCAAATCCAAACGCTCTATCGCCAACTGCTGCATTTCTTCTATCATTTCCGGTAGTATCGACTGTGTCAAGTTCAAAACCAACTGAAACAGACAACAGCTATTCCGAGGGCACGAATCTACTCCGACTGGAGGAAAAACCGAATCAACCGAAAGATCACAGTCTTTTTGAAAGTATTTCATCAATTCTAAATGATTTGAATGATGTATCGGACAGTAGTAAGAATATTACGAATATAGACCATTCCAATGGCACTCAGTTCCCGTACTGTACAAACAAAAATCGTTCCGTCACCTCCGCCGACGAACATGACAAACCAAATGTATTAAGTAATGTTGGTGCGAATAGGACCAAGTCGAGTCAAAAGAATTTGAATATAAACAATTTGCTTAGTACTGATAGGATGCGTTCTAGTCATAGCGGCAGAGTTGAATCGGCGAAACCATCAAATATTGTGATGAAAAAGCCACCCATCCCAGAATGTTCGACCAGTACAATGCAATCGAACAGTTTGTTGAGTGATAGAACCAATTACATACCGTCCAGAACATTTGAAAATGTCCCGACTTCAACTGATAATACCTCCGACTTTTATGTCAGTCTTTCCACACTGGGCTTACCACTAAAATCGGCCGCAACACTTGCCTCAACGCCAATCAATCCAAGCTCCCATTTCAACTTCCAAATCTCATCGCTGGCACAACCGCGGAATCTAATCGATTCAAGACCTCTCATCGCCGACACTCCATTCACTTTTTCTTTGACCAAGTGCTCCGATACAATGACCAATACAACAAGTAGTACAGCCAAAGCTATAACACAACAGCAAATGGATCATCAAACGGTTGTTCATCGTATGGATAAAGCGCAGAAGAAATCGTCGCCGACTAAACATTTGGTCAATGATCGGTTTGTTGTCCCTGCTGAACCAACAATAGCGTCTCTGAATCGTTGCAATTCGTTTAATCCTTTTGCGTTTGATAATCCACCGATGCTATCTTCATCGTCTTCCATCGCATTGGGTAGCCTTACGACAGTCTCTTCGAATTGTTCTTCGATAGGTACACCATTTACATTCACATTAACGCCAACCTTTTCATCGATTTCCGCCAGCACACCGCTGCTTTCGAATCATGATCCACTATTCTCTTCTTCATTTGATATGCCAATTATGAGATCGACCAGTGCATTGAGTAAAAATCCAAATCCAAAGAAAGATAAACCGTCCGTTCCATTTGGCGAAAATAAAGATCAAACTCAGTTGTCAATTGGAAAAAGTAATAAGAACTATGCAGTGCCATCCACATCGAAACCGAGCAAAAATCTGGTCAACTGGATGACATCAAGTGTAAATAAGCCAACGCAAGAGTTGCATTTAGATTTTATGCCATCGACGGCCGAGGAACCATCAGCATGGTCACCCAACCGTATGGCTGTGGACAATACAAATCTTATTTCATCATCAGCATTGCCAATGTTACAAGGCGATTTGGCATTGAATACGATTTCGAACAGTTGTAATCCGCCCGTCAATAAATTTGACATTGATTCGAAAAAATTGTCGCAGCGAACGAATAGCAACAACCACAACAATCAGAAATATAGTCCATCCAAAGTGGTGACAAATCGAAAATCTGAACACCATATACAACCAGACCGCAGTGGAAAGGGTGGTAAAAGTGATAAAAATCTGCATACGTTTAAAAACCATCATCAATCAGTTCGAATGAATGAACCGAATCCAATCACAAATAATTTCCATTCGGTTAGTCAGCTGTTAGATCAAGAGCGTCAGACGGCCAATAAAAATAGTTGTTACATTCCAAGCGAGGGCAAACTGCTTTTGAAGGATATAAGCAGCAGCAGCAGTGGTGGTGGTGGTAGTGGCGTCGGTAATTCGGCGGTGATAAAGCAAAAATTATATTCAAAATATGAACCAGAGCCCAATAATCAATTGGTAGAGAATAAATTTCCTACAAATGCATGCAATGTGGTGGGCAGCAGTGATATAATGGCCAATGAATGTGATAGAGATTTATTTGGTGGGTATTTTTTCGGTCAACCAAAGCGGCTCAAGCTCAACTATCATTCGTCCAGTGAATTTTTGGGCAATCAAGGCTATGCATCAACCTATGAAAATTCAACGGCCAACGACATTCTTGCCCCCTACACAAACTATCAAACGTTCGATAGTGAATGCAATAATGCAGCGTCCAGCGCATGCATAAATAATTTATCAAACCAAACGTATACGTATCAGTATACACAGCCACAGTCATACAATCATCAACCGCAACAGCAACAGCCTCAAAGTGCATGTGATCCGATCGATTCGACCAATTATTTCCAAGCGCCAGCGTCGTTACCCAGCTACAAACCATCACATTTCAATGAAATGGTGCGAAACAATTCAAAAGCGAGTACACAGCAATCATTTTTGCATCATCAAATAACTACCACCACCACCACTACCGCAACCGTCGCCAAAACAAACGATTCCATAACGGCGAACGCAAAATTATTTGCATGCCCGTCATCGAGCAGTGCAGCGCCGAATATTTCAACACAATTACCAATGAGCTCAACAAATCGAAATCCATCAGCATGCTCGTCGAAAACCATTCACTATCCATCTCATACGAATATAAATAATTTGCCATTGAATCAAGCGTGGAACGATAGTTTCAGTTGGATGCCCTATACCAATTCCATTGAAAAACCCTATAATAATAATTTGTTTAACAGCAATAGCGACAGCTCAAACAACAATAAAACCAGCCTCACCACGAATAATATCAGCGGCAGTAATAATAATACCATACCGAATTTCAATCTTACCACCATTTTTCCCGATTACAATAAATCTTGATAAATATGAGTGAATCTCAAGAGAAATTCGTATGTGTGTAGAGATGAATTGAAAATTGAAGAAAAAGCAAAATTGTACATATTTGTTTGTAAATCCAAATACATTCATCAATTAAATAATTTATCATGGAAAAAATTGTGCGTTTTGAATTTGCGTTCGAAAATTCGCTCGTTCAATTTCGCCTCAGCCGAAAAATTGCCAACGGCGAATTGCTTGTGTGGCGAATTCACATTTTTTTACTGTCATCTATTTCATCCCAATGAAACGTCACTCACCGCATTGTGTGCATGTTCACGTCGCACGGAATTCCCTTATTTTCGAACTTCTTTTTTTAAACAAATCGAACGCAATCTTGTTCTTCTGCGGTAAAATTAAAGGCGTTGATTTGTTTAGGTTTGTGAATTAATTTTGAAAGAAAAAAACCACGAAAAATGCCACCAAAAAAAGCAGCCGCTGGTGCAAGTAAAAAGACCGAAGCTAAAAAGAAGGACAAAATCATTGAGGTTAGGAATGATCTGATTGAGACGTTTCGTTTTTCTTATAATCACATACTCATTTTGCTCAATAAACACCGCATTATTTCAGGATAAAACGTTCGGTTTGAAAAATAAGAAAGGTGCAAAAACACAAAAGTTCATTCAACAAGTAGAAAAGCAAGTGAAAAGTGGTGGGCAACATCCACTGCTTCCAACCAGTAAAAAAGATGAGAAGGAGAAGAAATTGCAAGAGCAAAAGGAATTGAACGCCTTGTTCAGGTAAACAATTGTGTTTTCATTCGAATTGATGGGCAATCACTTATTGACACTATTCAATATTTTCGTCTTTACAGACCGGTTCAAACACAAAAGGTCGAAAAAGGTACTGATCCAAAGTCAGTGGTGTGTGCCTTTTTCAAAGCCGGTCAATGTGGAAAGGGTGAAAAATGTAAATTCTCGCATGACTTGAGCGTGGAACGTAAAGTCGAAAAGAGAAGCATGTATGTTGATATGCGAGATGGCGACGAAAATGATACCATGGACAATTGGAACGATGAAAAACTGAAAGAGGTCGTCGAAAAGAAACATGGCAAAGAGAAGCGTATGCCAACCACGGACATTGTGAGTAATCACGCAATTCGTGTTTGTTATGTTCAATGTGAGCGATTTTTTTAAAACCTAATCTGGCGCTGTTTCTCATTGTAGATTTGCAAGTTTTTTTTGGATGCTGTAGAAAAATCGAAATACGGATGGTTCTGGGAATGTCCAAACGGTGAAAAATGTATCTATCGTCATGCACTGCCACAAGGCTACATTTTGAAGAAGGACAAAAAGAAAATGGATGAACAAAAGAAACCAGACATTTCGCTTGTCGATTTAATCGAAAGAGAACGTAACGCACTTGGATCCAATTTGGTATGGCATTTTATTTCGAATTTTTTTTTGGCGTTGATCAAAATCATTCAGAAAATTGAACCTTTTTTCGAATTAATTGCAGACAAAAGTCACATTGGAATCATTTTTGGCGTGGAAAAAGCGAAAAATCCAAGAAAAGAAAGATTTACAAGCTAAGGAAGAAGAACAGAAACGAAAAGACTACAAATCTGGCAAACAATTCGGTTTCTCCGGTCGTGAAATGTTCAGCTTCAATCCGGAATTGGCTAAAGACAACGACTTGGAAGATGATGATGGCGCTTACGCGAGCTACGAACGTGAAGAAGACGATAATGATCAAATTTATGAATACAAGGAACTTGATTTGGATGAACTGGCAGCTGGTGCTCAAGAGGTTTGTTTCGAATAAAATTAAATTTCATAACAAAAATGTTTGGCATAAAGTTAATGAATAATTGTTGTTGTTGTTGTTGTTGTTGCTTAGGCTGATGGTACTGGAACTGTGGCGACTGAAGACCGATTGAAAAAACCCGTTGAAGAAGCCGAAGGTGAAGCGGCGGGTGCAGCCGGTGACGTAGTCGATGCAACACCATTCAATGAAAATCTCTTCCTTGACGAAGAAGTACTCGATGGCTTAGAAGATGAATTAAACGAATTGGACCTTAACGATAACTCGTAATTCAATGCAATTCAGTATGAATTTTTTTTATAAACAAAACTCCAATCAATAAAATCGATATCATTTTATCAAATGTTAAACTCAAGCAATTTCAATTTAGTTTTAAATTTTATTCGGATTATTTGATTTCGAATTAGTTTTAAATTTTCTTCATTTTCAAAATAATTTCCTTATAAATTATATTTTTGTTGAAAAAATTCTAATATTCGGACTAAAAAATTGGATGCTCAAAACATTAAAATGTGACAAAAAATGTGTCGCTTAAATATTTCTGTTAACAATGTTCAAATGTTGAATGCGATCCAATTAGCTGGATTTGTAACAGTGATTTTTTCTATTTGATCTTCAGTCAATCCTTTAAGTTTGAGTTTGGGCAATACATTGTTTAGAATGTGTGCATATCCATGGCCACCAAAACCAAGCTGTGGAAAATAAATCAAATGAAATAAAAACGAAAGACTTGATATGTACGGAGTCTTACAAGTCTGTGCTTCGTATGGATATCATGGGACATTAAGATACGATCTTCATATCCGGCTTTGGCGAGTACAATGACCGAATCCATGCGTTGAGCATCGGAAGGCATATCAAGGTGCATGGCGAATTGATACAAGGAGCATTCCGTTCCAAATAAATCGAGTTGGTTGTAAACACCGAGTTTGGCGAACTCCAATAACGTGTCATTATTATGGATTGTACCTTTAATCATGAAATCGTTATCAATGCGGCAATAATTTTAATAATCTATCTTATCACGGCGCTAAAACGTCATGATTACACGTCGTGATCGTGATCCAATTTTTAGAAAAAAGTCAACATACGGTCCAAATGTGACATAATACATTTATCAGCCTTGCCACCGGCTTCCAAATACAAGCGAATGACTTCGAACGGTGCACGAGGATCTCGAGCTGGATGGAATGTAACACCGCATCCAAGTGTTGCACTGACTTCCGCTGATGCTTGAATGGCCCTCTTCTCAAAATCTGAATTGGAATTCACAAGAGAATGGATTTGTTTTTATTTTCATAGTCTCTCTTTGAAACTGGGTCAAAATAAAAATATTTACCAGTTATGGGCCAATTACTGGCAATCTCTCCAAGGAATCCACATTTGATAATGTCGGATCCGTCATGAGCGCTACTCACATCAACACCAGACACTATTTCTTTTGTGTAAAGTTCGGACATTTGCTCAATGGTAAGCGATAGTTCACCGCTTTTTTGTGTCATTTCTAGATAGTGTCCCGTTCCAGCAACGACATTCACTCCAGTTTCCAATGCAGCTTTACGATAAAATTTCAAATCACGTCGTATTCCGGTCGTAGTATTTTCGACAATTGTACAATTGCCTCCACACCATTTCTTATACAGATGCAGATCTTCGATTACTTTTTCATTGGTGTCATCGTCACAGAATTGGATATTGTAGTGACTTGAGTATGGATATTGGCGCAAAACTCCTACATTTCCAAGCGAAATTTTCTTTTCATCCGTTACATAGCTCCTCAAATGCTTCGGGGCATCGAAGTAAAAGTGATGGAAATCTAATGATAAATGTTCATGCGTAAGAGTTCTGCCCAAATCAGATGGCACCAAATCACCGAGAACTAAAAAATATCGAATATTTGCCCATTTCACTTTATTAATTAAAAAAGAGAAAAAAAATCGCAAAGAAAAAATAATTTACCAGATTGAACTTTCATTTTTCTTAACTCTCTTTAAGTTGTTTACTTTGTGACTGAACTCAACGATACATTTAATACTACGCTCTATCGGTACAACAACAGTTGAGATAATCACAACGTTCATTCGACGATCGAGTTTACGCGCATTTTCTCTGTTCATCATATGTTTATTTGCTTGCTATAAAGAAGATTGAAGTTATTAACAGGTTAGAATGATCGAAAAAAGACACGGAAAATGTGCTATTTTTGGTCATAATTGATTTATTTCTAAATAATAAGCTATATTTTCAGCAGAAACAAAACGTAATATTCAAGAGTGATTACAGTAACCAGTGACTACTGTCGATATAAATATTACAAACAGGAAAACATCCGAATTTGAGTATTTTTCAGATTTTTTTTTAAATCAGGGCCATTTCAACATATTTAAGCTGATTTATATGGTAGTGACATCTGTGAATCGTGTATGCTTTGACGAAATATTGTTTCGAACACATGAAAACCGACACAAATTCGATTTATTTATTTCGATTTGTACATTTTTCATTAAAATTGTATTCTGATAAAAATATCCAAATCATGGGAATTTTTATTTAAAAATTTTGGAACGAATTTTTGATCATCAAATCTATTATAACAAAGAAGAACAATTTGGAAATGAATTAATGTTTAATATAAATTCATGATTTAAAATGATATATCTCTGAAACTGTGTTATGTGACGTAAAAGTTCACGCATATGTAATCTTGCATATGCTTTTTTTCTTCTACTTTTTCATTCAAATATTTTCTATGGGATCTTATCAACTTCAAAAGTAAACAAGACCACAGAGCTTCGCTCCGCGTTCTTGGATTTGTATTTATATCCTATTTTTAGTTTTCTTTTCAGCCAACTATTCATTTCGCACTACATGACATTTTTGTCCTATGATCCAACTCTAAAAGTAAAGAAGTTGAAAATGATATCATGAATCATTTGGTCTGTTCGAAAGGAAGGAATGAACTAGCTTCATTTTTGAATTAATATTAAATCTGTAACTATTAAACTGAAAATGTGTGTGTATGTACACATGTGTGTCATTTTAGCGTAAAAATCAAAATGGGAAAGACGGAAGAAATGTGAAATTCAAAGAGTTTTTTCAATGCGTTCTAATGTGACGATATAATTGTTGCGAATCACTCGCCATTTGCCATCGCAAGCTGCTCTTAATTCTTCATCGGTGTTGTCAGCATAAAAACGAAAACTTCTCACAAATTCCAAATGTGGCAATACGAGCGGTAATACTCTAATGTCGTCAATAAATGCGTTATAAAAAAACGTCCTTTAAAAATAGTAACGCATTCTGCAGCTGACCTTTCATTATTACGGAAAATGGACCAGCATAATCGAACGTCAATTTTTCAATCATTCGATTTTCATTGATAAACGTTAGAACTTTGCCGGAACTTTGTGAAAAACGCATGATATCGAACTCTTCTAAATGATTGAATGAAAAGGGAATTTTTGGTTCGGTTACTTCATAGTCAAGAAAATACCAAAATTTGAATTTTTTAACATTTGGCAAATATATCGAACTGTCATGTTCTATTTTTTATCAGAAAGTCGGTCATCCGAATCGAATTCCAAATGTTGTGAATTTGGAAAATACTCGGACACTACTGGAAAAGTATCATCACTACAATGTCCTAAATACAAGCGATTCACATTTGGAAAAACTCTACTCAAACATTTTTCTTTCAATTCGGATGATTTGCCGATTCTTAAGTCTTCAATGTTCACAAATGGCCTCTTGAAGCCTCCAAATCCCGACGCTTCTGCAAAATAAGCCTTTGTCAAAGATTTAGTGCAAAACTCGTATATGTAGCTCATATTATTATTATTGTGAGTGTGTCCAGCAATATCGAGAACAGCGAACAAAGCAAGAGAGTAGAGCAAAATAAAGACAGTTGAATATAAGGGGCAAATTACTACTGAAAAGACTGAAAGCACTGAAATCCACTGAAAACCACTGAAAAGTACTGAATTTAATTTTTCAATAGTAATCCGCCCCTTGGTTAAATCTCATTTCCCCAGCAACAAATAATTTAATTTTACAGTTAAGAAGTGAATGAATTTGCATACGAATACAAAAATAAAAAATATTTTGTCACTTAATCAAAAATAACAAGAATAAACTGATTTTTTTAAAGTTATAGTAACGTAACGAAACCCTTTTGAAATCACTACAAACGTGTTTTCAGCTTTCAGAGTTGGTTGGTAAATAACATGATCATCAGCTGATAGTTTGGGATTTATTCCGACAGCACGAACGGCGCATTTTGGCACAGATAATAAAACGATTAGTAAATGTTCTATGCAAAGTACGGAGTTTAATGAATTACTTTGACCGTTGCCAAAGTACTTGCATGCGATACTCAGGTAAGCTAATTAGCAAATTACAAATTTGATTTCACTTTTGCTTGCAAAATATTTCCAACTATTTTTCATAGGACACATGTATGCCTCATCATTGAAAAGGGAAAAAATGTCTGATCATTTATATTTCATACGAGAAAGTAGGTATAATATGCATTTTCGAACATTCTTAATGAAAACGTTAGAAAATTAGCTAATAATTTATATTATATTAATTGGCTCTTGAATATTCCAATCAAAAATAGGCAAACAAATTATCATTTACACAAGTCTCGAATTAAGTCATTATGGAAATGATTCAAGTAATTTGTTGATGTTAAATCGTTCAAAATGAGATGGAAAATGAGTTAATTTGTTTCACGATGTGCTCACCGTTTTCTAACAAAAGTCTATTTTCAGCAGAACCCAAAAGAAATATCTAGTGTCACATGAACATTGCAAACAGGAAAAATATTTGAATTTAAATCTATTTGAAAATTTCATTTCAAATCGGCGCCATTCTAGTGCAATGAAGTTGATGTGAACGTCACTGACATTTGTGAATCATGTGTGTTTTGAAGAACTGTCATTTCAAACACCTAACGGATCAGACGCAAAGTCGCCTTGTTTATTTTAAGTAGTAAATTATTCATTGAAAATTACATTCATCAAATAAAATTGATTTAATTTCTGTGCATTGATTGATGGAGTTAAAAGGATGGCATTTTCGCAATCACTATCGTTAGGTGAAAACACATTGAATCAGTTGGATGTGTGTGAGGGGAATATTTATTGTGCCGGCAAAAGTGTCAATAAAAACAAAGCAATCACCCCAACGCGAAAAAGATCGCAGAAACCATTGAATGGTATATCAATTGGCAATGGGTTTTCGAATCAGTCGCCCACCTCGGATTCGATCAATTCAAACAAGATACTTGATGTGGTCGACGAATCTCCTACTGAAAAGACCAATGTGCTGGGCAAATCCATTAGAGAACGTTTAAAAAATGCGTCAACATCCAAAAAGAATGATCGAAAACACATGCGACGCAGTCGCTCCGACCCAATTACTGCCAGCGATTCGAAAATATCCAAGTATTCTGTGTATAAACCAAGTTTTACTGAGGAATTTGGCTCAATATTTGACAGCACAATGGAATTGGATGAGCCGGATGATCGTGCAAACAGGAAAACCAAAATAAAATTGGATGAAAAGTTCGAAGAAGATGATTTTGATGCGATTTTCGGTGATATCCAAACGCCAGCAATGCAAAACGATGCACAGGGAAACGATACCAAAAGTACTAACAGTTTGATTGCGTTGAGTGACAGCGGAGGATCGGATCAAGTAAATGTGTCCGATGTTGAAAGACTGATGCGTACCGAAGATTTTGATAAGACTGATCCACAGGCACAGGTGGACAATGAACAACCAAAGGATGATCTCGAATGGGAAGACTCGGCCTTTTTTAACGATCTATTGGCATCACAGCAAAATCTAGTAAACGCAAAACCAATCGAGGAAAATGATTCACTGGCCGATGTTGTGATCGATGCTGAATGTGTATCGATGCCAAGTGGTCAAAATGAAGATGACAGGAGAACAATGGAACAAGACTTGGAAAACTGTTTGTTAGAAGTTAGCATTCATTTATCGAATTTGAATACAACCGAAGCCAAATCGATTCAAAAAACTGGATCACAACTGGAAACAAGCATATTTTCCCGAAGCATAACCGAACGGGTGGCTTCAGATGGAGCTATTGAGAAGACTGACGTAAAGACGAATTTATCAGTGGTGCAACCAAATAAATTGAGTATCGATAATTTAGCGGATTGGAGTTGTTCAGCACCAATCATTAAAGCGTATAAGAAAAAGGGCGTTCATGAAATGTTTGAATGGCAATCGGAATGCTTGAGTAATCCGAGGGTAAACGAACTTTTGTTAAACTTAATCGACCAAATTTGAATATTTTTCATTCATTCATGTTTTTTTTTATCTTTCCAAAACAAATTGCAGATTAAAGACGGAGACGACAACTTATTATACAGTGCACCAACATCGGCAGGCAAAACATTCGTTAGTGAGGTGCTGATGTTCCAAACGGTACTGAAGCGACAGAAGAAAGTGATTGTCATACTGCCGTTCATTTCGGTTGTGCGAGAAAAAATGTATACACTTCAGGTACAAAATCGTCGAAATATTTATTTTTCAATATCCATTCGTTTACTGTCACAATCAATCACTTCCAGGATTTGTTGCGATCGTCCGGAATACGTGTCGAAGGTTTTTTCGGTGGCTATACAGCGCCTGGTGGATTTGAATCAGCTGACATCGCAATTTGTACCATTGAAAAAGCCAACGCAATCGTCAATCGTCTGTTAGAACACCAAAATATCGATTCGATTGGGATGGTCGTTGTCGATGAAGTTCACTTGATTTCAGACTCAAATCGTGGCTACATCTTAGAATTGTTGCTCACGAAAATTCTGTTTTGCTCTCGTAAATTGGGCGCAAACATTCGAATTGTAGCGATGTCAGCTACACTACCCAACTCGGAACTCGTTCGAAATTGGCTGGATTCACAATTTTATCTAACCAATTATCGTCCCATTGAATTGCGTGAAATGATCAAAATCGGACCGGAGATCTTAAACAATTCGATGAATTTGATAAGAATGATAACCACAGAGGATTATTCCATCATTGACAATGATCAAGACAATATTGCGCAGCTGTGCATTGAGACGATTGTCAATTCGGCGGCGGTCATTGTGTTCTGCCCGTCAAAGGACTGGTGTGAAAAGTTGGCCGTTCATGTTGCACAGAATATCTATAAGTTGGGAAAGAGCCAAACGCCAATCGGCGAAAAAATTCGAAAGGAAATAAATATGCAAATGATTGAAGAAGTTAAAGGACACCTGCGGAATTCACCAGCTGGTAAACCATTCGATGAAACAAATTACGATTCCTTAAAACATTTTAATTTGCATCAATTCGTGTTTGCTTTGTTTATTTGACCATAGGTTTGGATTCGGTTCTTGAAAAGACAATTTCGTATGCAGTGGCCTATCATCATGCCGGTCTGACGTTTGACGAAAGAGACATAATCGAAAGTTCTTTTTGCAAATCATCAATTCGTGTGATCATCGCCACAAGCACGCTGAGCTCAGGGGTCAATTTGCCAGCACGCCGAGTTATTATTCGATCACCAATGCAATTCAATAAACCAATGTGCTCGTTGACATATAAGCAAATGATTGGTCGAGCTGGTCGAATGGGAAAAGTGAGTTAGATTTAAAAAAAAAACCGTCTGATTCAATTGAAACAGAAAAATGAAATGATCGATTAATGGAAATACTACATTTCAGGACACTGAAGGTGAATCGATTTTAATTTGTGACAAAAAAAATGCAAGAATCGGCCAGGAATTGATTAAAGCTACTTTAAAGCCCATCACATCTTGTTTATCGTCTGATAATCACGTGCGTTCTTCATCATTTTGTAATTAATTCATTCTCACGAGATAAATTCAAGAATTAATTCTTTAGTTCTTTTTTTTTAATAAATCTTAATTTATTACGGCTCATGCTCATTTGAATCAAACCCGTTTCCATTGTTACGTTGTCCCTACAGACGCATTTGAAGCGAGCACTCTTAGAGATCATTGCTTCTGGCGTAGCCACAACGCGAAGTGAATTGGAAGAATTTGTGAAATGTACGCTATATCATTCGGAGCATAAGTTTGAAATCAAATATTTTACGAATATATTGAACGAATACAAAGCGCAAGCCAAATCAAAGAAGAAAGCCAAACCGGCAGCGGACGAACTTGATGAGATCGAAGACACGGATCTGGTGGGAAAATGTATGCGGTTCTTGGAGCGGTATGAGTTCATTCGGTTGCAGTTGGATGAAGAAACTGATGAAATAAAATTCGTATCAACTCGCCTTGGATACGCTTGTTTGGCATCGTCAATGCCACCAAGCGATGGATTTTTTCTATTTTCTGAGTTGCAGAAGGCCCGCCAGAACTTCGTGCTTGAAACGGAATTACATGCTGTTTATCTTGTAACGCCATTTTCTGTGTGCTATCAACTGCAAAACATCGACTGGCTTTTCTATCTGGATACGTGGGAGAAACTTTCGAATTCGATGCAAAGAGTCGGTGAATTGGTTGGAGTGAAAGAATCATTCTTGGTGAAGGCAATGCGAGGCACAACAAGATTGGATAATCGCACGCTTCAAATTCATAAACGGTATGCCACAGCTCTGATATAATTATTGCTTGGAACACTTTGAATCATGCTAAATAAATTCATTTGCAGCTTCTACACGGCTCTTGTTCTGAATGAGCTAATCAACGAGCGCCCATTGAACCAAGTGGCGTTTAAATACAAACTAAATCGCGGCACGTTGCAAAGCTTACAACAAACGACATCAACGTTTGCTGGAATCGTTAAATCATTCTGCAAAGCATTGAATTGGGATATGCTAGCGTTGATTGTGTCACAATTTCAAGATCGGATATTTTTCGGTGTTCACCAAGATTTGATTGAACTTATGAAAATATCCGTTCTGAATGGTCAACGTGCCCGGGCACTTTTCGATGCCGGATACCAAACGCTTGTTGATATTTCAAAGGCCAATGTGCTCGAGATCGAAAAATGTAAATCATTCAGTGGGAAATATTCACGAAAAGATTCCAATTTGCTTAAACTCGTGTTTATTTTGTTCATTTTACCATAGGTTTGACCGATTCGATCAGTTTTGATGTGCAAAAACGTGATGGCGAGACAAATTATGATGCTGAGCAACGGAATAAGCATCGTTTGCTGTTTGTTACCGGGCGAGCGGGTTTAACACCGACAGAGGCAGCCAAATTAATCATCGACGAGGCTCGAGAATACCTACGCACTGAAATGGGTATTCAGAATATCAATTGGACGCAGCGCGATGGGACGACAACTGGAAATGAAGATGCTTCGAATAAAGATGCGGTTGTTTTAAATGAAAATGAAGGCGCTAGGAATGAAACGAAAGTTGCTGTAAATGCAACTGAAACAATAACAGCTACAGGGAATACTGAAAATGCTGTGTCAGGAGATCGTCAGCCAGCTCAAAAGAGAAGAATTCCATTGGATCAAAATGTGATGACACCGAATAAAAAGCGGAGCCAAGGTCAAACAGTGACCACGGCCAAACAAATTTCATCGGGCGAAACGTCGAGTGAAAATAGCGACGTTGATTCAATAATCCTCGATAATTCATTATCTTTTTACAATGATGAAAACGATGATTTTATGCAACAATTACGGTCAACAAGCAATAGTCCGGTGTTGGCAAGTGGTGCACGCCATAATGAACTTCGTCTTCAAATCGTTGATGTAACAAAGACGTTAGATAAATTTCAAAAGTTTGTCAAAGAATTCGAAAAGGTGACCGAATGTGGGTTCTCCTTGGCCACAGCCAGACCTGATACAACGACATCGGCTGGATCGAAGAGCTATCATTGTGTTATTTTACCGGATCTTTACTTATACGGTGTGGCAATATCATTCCAAGACAATTACATTACACATTTTATCAGCCTTCAAGATGACAACTCAGTTGAGTTTCGCAAGAAATCCGATTTTATTCGAGCGGTGATGGCCCGAAACAAATTGACTTTGGTCTGCAACGATTCAAAGACTCAATTGAAAACATTATTAAAAGCCATTCCGGAGATTCGTCGAGTCGATTGTCTCATCGAAGACACTCTCGTTGCGCAATGGTTGATTCAACCAGAGGACCATCTTACCAGATCATTTAGCAAAATGGTAGGCAAGAGTATATAGAACATAAAAATATAAAAGTACAGCACACTTGATATCAATTCTTTTCAGATTGAAGTGTATGCACCGAAATGCATTGATTTGTCGAGTACAATTTGTGATGGGAAAATGAGTACCACAACAACAACGAAAATACGGTATTTTTTTTATTGAAAATACAATTGAAAGTTAAGCACTGCAATTCAACGTTTTTTTCCCCCAACGAATTAGATCATCAATCAAAGCATGCGTCACTCGGCACATTCTTCGCGAGCAGTCACAAATTCTCAGCAAAATGGGAAATGGGTCAATCTTCAAGGCATTCAAAGGTTTATTCAATAGTAAATGAGATTTATGTGAAAGGAAAAAAAAGAGTAAAATTCGTTGAATTGTATTTTCGCAGAGATGGAAATGCCCGTTCAAAAGTCACTGCTCCACATGGAACAAACTGGGATGGCACTTGAACGAAACGCTATGGAGGTGTTGAGCGAGCAAATTAGTGATTACATTGGTGAACTGGAGGCGGAAATATTTCGACTGAATGGGAAACGTTTCGCTGTGAACTCATCCAGACAAGTAGCCCAAGCACTTAAGGTTCGCAAGAAAAATGGTTCAATGGCAACAAAATGTACACGCGCTCAATTGTTGCAAATTACACATCCAATGTCCAAATTGATTTTGGAACATCGCAGCCTGCATGCAATCTTGTCGAAATCCGTTCAGCCACTTATCAAGAAGACGAGCGATGATAATCGGTAAGAGAGTCTCCATTCGGTACCTAACACTCATGCGCACTGAAAATATCCGGTCGTAATCACTGTTCTATCTTAACTTCAGAATTTATGGTAGCAGTTACAGTTTCACGCAAACGGGTCGAATTTCGATGCACGAACCAAATCTACAAAATGTTGCCAAAGATTTCCACACAGAATTCATTCCTCAAGTGTTTTCCTGTCGCAGTGCATTCATTGTGAATTCAAATCGAATGTTAATTTCAGCCGATTTCTGCCAGTTGGAACTACGTGTTCTGGCTCATCTGTCAGAAGATGATGGTCTCATTGGCATTTTTAGTACGATAAACGATGTGTTCATATCAATTGCGGCCAAATGGAATAAGGTGCTCGAATCAGATGTTACCGAAAAGATGCGCAACGACACTAAACAAATTTGCTATGGAATCATTTACGGGATGGGTATCAAGAGTCTGGCCGCCACTATGAAATGTGAAGAAGAGGAAGCACAATCATTGCACGAATCATTCCATCTAACTTATCCAGGAATTCGGTAGATTTGTGAATGATTCAGTAATTGATTATGTTTTAATTAAATTTTGAATCATTTTTACAGGAATTACACACAAAAAATATTATGTTTTGCTCGTGAGAAAGGCTTTGTTGAGACTATAGCTGGGCGTAGACGTTATATACCCGACATAAATGCCAACAATTTGCGAAAACGAGCTCAAGCTGAACGACAGGCAATCAACACAACGATTCAGGGATCAGCTGCTGATATAGCTAAATATGCCATCCTACGGATGGAACGAAATCTAAGCAAATACCGAAAACAGTTGCAAACCAGCGCTAACATTGACCTAGTTTTGCACTTGCACGACGAATTATTGTACGAAGTACCACTCAAAATAGCCAATCAAGTGCAGAAAATCCTAAAATCAAGCATGGAAAATTGTGCAAAATTGCACGTACCATTGCGAGTGAAAGTGAAAAAGGGACAGTGCTGGGGAACAATGCAACGGATTGAATGACACTTCCAAATTTTTTTTTTTTTTAAATCAAACATTGAAAAATAACTCATCAACATTACATTAGTATTATGAAGAAAAAAAATTATTGTTTATCACCACATTCATGTTTTTGTCTATGTTTTCGATCGAATAAACATGTGACTTTTTCAACAAGCAGCTGCCAATGCATTTTCAATTTGCATATGAAAAAGAAGAAGAAGACATTTTCGAAAATGCAGGCGTTCTTTGATTTGGCGCCAAATTGTGTTTGTTCGAAATGAATTTCGAAATGATAAACAACAAGTATTTTAACCATGAAAAATGTACCGTCTCCACTTTTAGCACATAGTACATACACACACAATACGGTTCGTCCGGCATGTGTCGCTTTAAGTCAATGTTCGAAAAAAAAAATTATATTTCAAAAACTCATTGGTAATTGTGGCATTGGAGACGAACAACGCGCTTTTGTTCAAGAGAGCGGATTCTGTAGTCTGAGAGTATATATATACGTATATATATATATTTTTATTCGCTTGATTTGTGTAAATTCCATTTGGTTTGGAGCAATTTTTTTTTGTTTTTTTTTTTTGAAATTAAGTTTTGTAAAGAAAAAAAAATATTGTGCAAAAATGGATACGGCAAGAGTAGCTGAAATGATGAGAGCCACGCTGTCAGAGGATAAAACTGAGCGCGATGCAGCTGAAGAACAACTCAAGCAGGTAAAACAATACACACCATGTGCTTTTGGAAAAAATCTAAAAATCATGCAATCCATCGACGGAAATTGAGTAAATTCACCGCAACTCTGTAAAATCTCATCGAATTTATCGTTGTGAATGCTATATATCGGTAAATTAGTGTGATTTTTAAAATAAAATGAAGACGAGAAAAGAAAATTGGTTCTATTCAAACGCATTCCAATACACAAGCACACAGAAAACATCTCTTTTCAGCGTGCGGCATGTGTCATTGCGAAAAATGACGTACAGCTGCTGCTTAGTGATAATTTAAAAATTCGATTCAATTGTGTGTGCATTGAACAATGTCCACAATGATACGCCAACTGCAAAATGAATTTATTTTTACTTTATATAGGATTTTTTTTTCTTCGCTGCTTTTTCCCCCCCAATAATTATGAATCGAAAATCTATGCGATGGCAGTCTATGCGATTTTTTTTTCATCGCGAATGATACGATTTTTGTTTACTTTTTGATTTGCATGGATTTGAATGGGATATTTTTTTCTGCCTCTATCTATTTCTCTCAATGCTCATGTATCCGAATACAAAGTCGAAATCGAATGAATGGTAGATTTGGGTATCAAAATCTATCGAAGATTGCTTTGCTTGTCAACAGCAAAGGAATGCTTCATTTTTTCACTGCTTTGCTCTTTTACCGGTACGTGATTTGTGTGAATTAACGAATGCTTTGGAGTTTTGACCTTGAGAATAAAATAATAATAATACACATTCATAAATCAATTACAGTGTAGTGATGGGTTTGAGGGATTTGTTTTTTTGTTGTTGCTTTTTTTTGGTTGTATTTCAAACATGTCAAACTAAGAGCGAAAACTTTGTGTGTAATGAAAGCGACAAGAAATATCGATTGCCCGTGAAATAGCGTAGAGTGTGTTTTATATGGCGAGACAGATAATGGCTTGGCCTCACATACACAATATTAATTCACTTTTCATCATTCAACACGGTGTGGTGTGTATTACGGTCGGTCGGGTGCTCACTTCCTCATTCACTCACCCGCTGTATACTTTCACAACGATGTTTACTCAATTTTGAATTCGCTCTTTTTTCACTTTTTATTTGTGATTCAATCAATCTGATTGAAAACGATTGATATTCATTTTCGATTTTCTCTTTCAAAATGTGTCCAAAAAAACAAAAACACAAACAATCGGTTAGGTATGCAAAATTATCGGATTCGTTCCATCGTTGCTGCAAATCGTGATACAAGCTGAAATACCGGTGACAGTGCGGCAAGCGACAGCTATTTATTTGAAAAATTTCGTCACAAGGAACTGGCTGGAAAAGGATGTGGACGGTACACAAATGGAATTCTCGATTCATGAACAAGATCGTACGTTGGTGCGTAACAATATCATCGAATCATTGATTCAAACGCCCGAAATGTTGAACAATCGCAACATATACATTCACATTGCCACATGCATTTATCACATAATCAAAAGCGATTTCCCAGGCCGATGGCCCGAGGTCATTGAGAAAATTCGCATTTTCTTACAAACGAACAATTACCAAAGTTGGACGGGTGCCGTTCTCGTCCTGTATCAACTCGTCAAGAACTATGAATATAAAAAAGCGGATGAACGTGGACCGCTCGATGAAGCAATGAACACATTGCTGCCAATTATCTACGAATTAATGGTGAATTTGATGCAAAACACCGAACAAACCGAAGATTGTGTCTTGTTGCAAAAGAATATCTTGAAAATCTACTACACACTAATCCAAGTAAGTTGATGCTATATCACTTTTTTGTGCTAAACAAACATTTCAATTTGGGACAATGCAATTGGAAGCAGTATTTTAATGAAGGTTAATTGGTGTGTTGTTGTATTTGCATTGTTAGTTTTGTTTGCCACTCGACTTGATCACCAAGGATGTGTTTTCAAAATGGATGGAAATTTGCCGATATATCATCGATAGCCCAGTACCTGTTGATATTACGAATTTGGATGAAGAAGAACGCTTGGAATTGCCATGGTGGAAGGCTAAAAAGTGGGCATTGCACATTTGTGTCCGTACATTCGAACGTTATGGCAGCCCTGGAAATGAAGTCAACAAAGACTACAAGAAATTCGCCGAATGGTATTTGCCAACATTCACCCGTGCCATTTTGGAATCACTACTCAAGGTCTTGGAATCGTATCGTAACAACATCTACGTATCGCCACGTGTATTGACGGAAGTGTTGAGCTACATGAAAATTGCGTAGGTTTCAATTTCTTACTACTCTTATATTCTATGTACGAATCGAATGGAAGTAGCAACGATCTAATGTGTTTTGTATTTGAAACAGCGTCTCACATGCACATTCATGGAGTTTCCTAAAACCTCACATGCTGCTAATCATCCAAGAGATCTTATTCCCAATCATGCAATACAGCGAAGAAGATGAAGATCTGTATCAAAACGACACAATCGAATACATTCGTCGGAAATTTGGTAAGCCAATCGGCCACTTCGAATAAACAATCTTCGGTCAACGCATATTGACAGTATAATTGCAATTTCTTTTTAGACATCTACGATGATTATTCGACACCAGTACCAGCCGCACAGGTTTTGTTCTTATCATGCTGTAAAATTCGAAAAGGCATTTTGCCACAAGCCCTTGGGTTCCTTAACTCCGTAAGTCTCTCTCTCTCTCTTCAATTTTTACCCAATAACTCATCAATAACTCTTTGCGTCAAACGATCAATTCATTAAAAAAAATATTCAATTTAAAAAAAAAAAACAAAGGTTATTCGAGAAAGCACGGAGCCGCGAAAACGAGACGGTGCTCTCTATATGATCGGTTCAATTGCCGAGGTTCTGTTGAAAAAGAAAGATTACCGTAACCAAATTGAGCAAATGTTGACCGAATACGTATTCCCCGAATTCCAAAGTCCGCACGGTCATATGCGTGCTCGTGCCTGTTGGGTATTGCAAACATTTGGCGAAGTTGAATTTAAGAATCAGGAGATTTTGGTGCAAATTTTGCGTCTTGCCACAAATGCATTGTTGACCGATCCTGATTTGCCCGTCAAAGTTGAAGCAGCGATCGTAATTCAAGTGTACCTATCATCACAAGAGGGTGAAGCTCATGAGGTGATCAAGAATGCAATTCTTGCTCTGAACGTTCAGAATATTACCATGGAATTGTTGAAAATTATTCGCGAAACGGAAATCGATGATTTGAATACGGCCATGCAAACATTTGTCGGCACATTCTCCGAGCATTTGGCACCGATTGTCGTCGATATTTGCCGACATTTGGAAGAAATGTTCAAAGAGTTGATGTCAGGACCAGAAGGTAGCAGTGATGATCGCGAAGAAACAGCCAACGGTCTGCTCGGCACCATCGAAAAGTTGCTGGCCGTTTTCGAAGAGAATGCTGAAATCGCAACCAAATTACAGCCATATGTTATTGCAGTCATTCGTTTGATTTTGGAAAATCAACGCACATGTAAGTACATTCTGTGAGAAGATAAAGAAATGGAACAGTTTAAAGGGGGATTCTTACGAGTCTAATCATGATGTACATTGCACAGATTTCTATGAAGAAGCATTTTCTCTGCTGTACGATTTGACATCAAAAACCATTTCACCGGATATGTGGGTCATGTTGGGCATCGTTTACAAAGTATTCAAGGAGAGCGCATTCGATTGCTTCTTGGACTTGATGCCAGCTCTGCACAATTACATCACAATCGACACAGAAGCCTTCTTGGTCGATGAGAATCGCGTTGGAGTCATCTTTGACATGTGCAAAACGGTAAGAGATCGAAATATAGGAATAATAGCACATTTGACCACATAGAATTTGGGCTGAGAAAATCATGACAATATAATTTTAGGTTCTAACAACAAGCGATGCTGGTGAAGATGCTGAATGCCATGCCGCCAAATTGATCGAAGTGATCATCTTGCAATGTAAGGGTCGCATCGATAAATGTATCCCAACTTTCGTTGAATTGGCCGTTACACGTCTTATGCAAGATGTTAAATCATCGGAATTGCGAACAATGTGCTTGCAAATCCTGATCGCAGCTCTTTACTATGATCCAGTATTGTTGATTAACATTCTTAAAGATCATCATCACAACAACGAACCTCTCATCTCACATTTCATCAAACAATGGTTCGTATTAAATGACAAAGAACACAGAAATTAAAAAAAAAAAGATTTTAAATCAAATATTTCACTAATGGTTTATCGTGATGTGATCGATAGGATTAAAGATACAGATTGTTTCTTGGGTATTCACGATCGTAAACTCTATGTCCTCGGTTTGTGCCGAGCAATCAGTTTGGGTGGAGAGAAGCCATACGTTTTGAATGAAGTGTCCGGTGAAATTTTGCCATCACTTTTACTCATTTTCGAAGGTTTGAAACGAGCTTATCAATCACGTGCACAAGAATGCGAAGAAGAAGAGTCAGAAGATGAAGAAGGTGAAGATTTTGAAGGTTTGTGTTGGAACATCTGGTTACTTTATTGATTGACGTTGTCTACCAAATAAAAAAAACTAATGATTTTTACTTAAAAAAAATTTTCATTCTGCAGAAGCCCTTTCCAGCGACGAAGATGAAGTTGATGAAAACAACACTTCTTATCTAGATAATATTAAAAATTTCGCCACCAAAAAGGCTAATCAAAGTGGTTTCGAAATGGCGGCCGAAGTCAAGGTGAGCGATCATCGATACTCAATAAATAGAAGATGAAAATTGAGTTGATTGGAAGAAAAAAAAAATAAATTTCAAAATAAATAACCTGATGATTTATACACGTCCCCAACACATCCAATAAAATTTATTAATCTCAATTGCAGGATGATGAAGATTCGGATGATGACTCAGAACTGTCCGACTTTGATCTCGACGAAACAACACTAGAAACCTATTTGACACCAATCGATGATGAGGATGGTGATAATCCGATCGATGAATACATTGCCTTCCAGCAAGTCATTACACGTATGTGTCCGACCACTTTCAATGATTGAATAACAATCGCATACTCATGCTCGAATAAAATAATAATTTTTCTACATTTTCTTTGCAGATCTTCAAGCTCAAGATCCACAATACTATGCTATGATTACTAGCAAATTGAGCCCCGAACAGCAAAAAGGCTTGAACGATGTCATTGTTACCGCTGAACAAAAGAAAGCGCAATATAATTCGAAACAAATCCAAAAACAAGGAGGTAACGATCAAATAGCTCCACTCATTATGGTTTAATCCAATTCATTCGCTTTTACACTTTTGTTTCGATTGAACAACGGAATACACTAAATTTATGTTTTAATCACTTTTTTTAATTTACTTTGTTGCTTGAAATTAATTGAAAAAAATTGCTCTTTCATTTTCATTAATACTTTAATATTAAGTTCATCTTTCATTTATTTCATGCTTTTTTTCTGAATACAATTTTTGTTTTGTTTATTAGCATTTAATTTTAAACAAATTTCACCGCTTGCTTAGATCTCTTTTGAATTATCATATCTTGATCGTTTCATCGGCCTGTACACCTAACTCTCATGCCATTTATCAAACATAACATCAGACAAACACAAAAAAAAACAATCAATCGAATATGAATCGATCGATTCTCACACAAGCCGATATTATGTATTTTTACAGGATTCCAATTTGCCGCACCAATGGGCCCACCACCTACCAATTTTAACTTCACATCATAAGTTTGCTAAAGAATAAATACAAGTGACAAATGTTCCCCACTTGAAAATCCATTATTTTTGTAATGCATTAGGAAATCATTTTCAATATTTTATCCACTTCTTTGACAACTAGGAGAAGAAAAGAAAAAAAAGCAAAATATATTTCAACGGATGGAGAGAGAAAAAAAAAATTGAAAACGAAAAGAACGAACGATTTAATTTACAGAAGAAAAAAAACAAAGAATGGTGAACATGTTAGTTTCTATTAAGTTTTCATCGGCATTTGAAAAATTATATTTTTTAACAATTAATTTAGAAATTACCGATTCGATAGGAATATTCAATAAATGAACATGTTAATGAGAAGAGGCGTTCGAAGCAATCTAAGCAGCCTAAAATCAAATCAAATGAAAAAAAAACCCAAAACATTTTTTTTTTAATTTTTAAATTTAATGTTAACTTATTTTACAAAACTTTTATTAACATCTTTGAAATGCAACAAGAATATTTGTTATTGAAACGCAAGATTTAGATAAATAAAATCTAAAAACCAATGAAATCTCCATGTGCTTTTTAGTTTTGATTTTTAACTCATCACCTTGGATCAGCAATTTTTGAAGAAGATCCGTAAATTGAATTTGCTTATTTATAAAAAACCGGACATTTTCACCAATTTTTTGCAATTTTTTGCGTCCGCATTTAAGATGAGCAGAATCCAGCGCATTTCCAACATGGATGACAATCAGTGTCTTGTTTGCATTTTATATATTGGAAACTGAGTGAACCGGATTGAGTTGTATAGCACCAACTTCCACTCGTGAGACTTAAACCGCACCATGCCCAACAATAGCCTTGATAACATCCAGCTTCATTGCTGCAAAGGTATGACGCATCATGCCCACGCAAGAAAATTAATTGAATATTTCTCTTCAGTTCAGCTTTGGACTTCTCTAAGTGTTCAAGCAATTTTGAGGCGTCCGAAGGAAATTTTGAGCTGTCTTGAAACAATTCTGTGTTTGGTTTCGCAAGCACACTCAAGAGAAAAAATACTCTTCATTTTTGCGGTATACGTATCGCTCACCCTATGCGTTCGCTCTTTTTCTATCTTATTCACACTTACACTATATTCGTCATACAAAACAACGGCAGAATGTAAGTGTAGAACGCATGCGGATACACTAAACGTTCGCGCTTCTCACACCAATACTAATGCATACGGTCTTGCGTCAATATCGCTACACACAACTGAAGCGCACCGCATGCGTTCTACACTTAGGTTCTGCCGTTGTTTTGTATGACGAATATAGTGTAAGTGTGAATAAGACAGAAAAAGAGCGAACGCATAGCGTGAGCGATACGTACACCACAGATCCGAAGGGTATTTTTTCTCTTGAGCAACACTGTATGAAACACAAAAGGCTGCAAGCACGACTAAAGCAAAAACGATATTCGATTGAAATGCCATCTCATCAACTGAATTTACTACGGAGTGTTTGAATTCGATGAAGATACGTCTCAGTTAAGTTGATTTAAGGTTTAACCATTGCTTGACTTGAACGCTTTCAATGGACTGAAATCATTTGAATTTGATACACGATTTATATGAAAATTTTTCAGTTAAAACTTTTTCGTCATCAATAATTTCCAGGCACAAATAAATAACAACTGTTTATACCTTTGGCGTAATTTCAACCATCAGTAGCAATCGAGTTAGCAATGCAATTGCATTTACAAATTGCCACTGAAAAGATTAGTTATCCGAGAATACCCATTGAATGTTGATAAAAATATGAATACAATGGTTTTGTCAAATCAGGAAATATCTCATTGTAACTATCAATTGATGAAGCATTTGGTGAGGACATCGCGAGCTTAATTGATAATGATTGACATAGCTTGAGTGATAAAAATAACGTTCAGAAGATTCCTGAGGTAGGTTTTTATTCTCAATTTATTCATCAAACATTTGGTATTAATTTCAGCGGCAAAACTTATTTCCCTTCGGAAATATAAGAGTTATATAAATAGCATGATCCACCAAGAAGAAGAATACTCAACCTATGCTTTTGGCCGGCGCAAGATAGCGGTGGCGCCTAAATAAGATGTATTAGCAATTTGCGGCATTTTTAAGAACCAACAATTCTTTTTGTTGTTGTCACAAATTTCGCAACAACAAGAAGTATTGATCGTTCCTAAAGTTGCCGCAGATTCTATTTAGGCGCCAACACTATTCACTGTTACGTCAAATACATTGGTTCTTATGGCAGAGAAGCACACGTTGAGAAAACTCCAAATGCATACGGCTTAGACCATCGATTTATCTTTATCTGGACGAATAGAAAGAGAAGAAACACAAATGAATAGATGAAATAAGCTCATGAGTTTTACAAGAGTACCTTGTTGGTCCTTACCATCGGCTTTTGCCTCTTTTTTGTCGGCATTATTATTTGTTTCGATTTTCTTGGTTCCATCATCGAGTAATAATTTGTTGCCTTCGGTTAAATTCTTCTCATATTGAGATTTTTTAGTATCCTTTTCAAGTTCATCAAAATCGGCGTGGCATTTGTAGGCCAATGCGTACGACACAACTATGATAAATGTGCATATTCCAATCCACAAATACGCATCTATATTCGAACGAAAAACAAAACGAAATTCACAAAAATGTCCAATGAAGTGGAAATAGTTGTAACAACTTACCGATTTGGAAGCATGGCTGCTCTTTTTCAATTACAAATGTGGTGAAGGCTGGCAAGTAAGAATCTTCGAGGCCCATTGTAAGATTACCATACTTGGCTTCGATTGTAACGTTATACTTTCTTGTCGGTGTAATCAACACTCCAAATGCAGCTAAAGTACGATTCTATTTCGGAAATTATTAATTTAAAAAAAAAATCGTCTTTTCTCATTTCAAGCAAGCGTTCGATTTGGTACAAAGAAATAAAATGAATTATATCAGAGGCAAATACTCACGCCAGGTATGGTTTTCTTGGCGAAAAAGTCTTCATCATCCGATTGCACGGTAACATTGAAATGTTCAGGTAAGACTTTTGATGGCGTCCATGATATATGTATTTTCTGGATATCGAACTCCTTTCCAACTGAAATTACATTTCAGAGAAAGTAAACATTGTTTTCAATGAAGAAAAAAAAATGAGGCTAAATGTGATTTTACGGGGAAATGGACAGTGGGAATGAATACTCACAACAATCGATTATGTTGGAACCGCTGGTAACGTTGACATTCGTAGCTACTCGATTAGAGTCATCGGAACCGAGGAGTTCTGTACCGTTTTGTGTGATGAGATAACAACCGAGTGCATAATCGATTGAACAAATCGATAGCAGCATATACGCAAAACTGCGTGCGGAATACATTTCGACTAATTATGTTGCTTTATGACTGAAAATGACAATTTTGTTATTATTTCGGGTTAAAACTGATGTTCATCAATAATAAACTAAAACATTTTTGTGGAGGAGTTGCGTACAACTCATGTACTTGCAATGAACAATTTGCTTTTTTACAGAATCCATACTACGCATTTTTATGAAGGAAAGAAAGTAAAAAGTTTTCAATTTACCTGAATTCCAAAAGAATTTTCTAGGTTATTTTGTTATATTTTTTTTTTGGAGAATCGATGAAAGATACAGCTGCAGTTTGAAATGATGCTGATGCAGCTTCGCCTGATTTAACAAACAATTTCGATGTTTTTTTGTATACAAGTCACATCCAAACAAAGAATACTTCCTAATACACAAAAGTCCTTTTCTTCTTTTATCTTGTATCGAATCGATATGTGTACTTTTTCTTTGTGTGTTAGTATGCGTGTGTACATATATGAGATGCGCCTGCGCATGTTGTTGTACATACAATAGTGCACAATAGAGTGAGTCAATTTGTATCTGGCAGTTTTACTGCACTTTACCATGAAAGTTCTTTAAAAACCGCTTGCGGTGCGCTTATAATGGAAGATTTGGATTTTTTGTGGAAAATTACCCAGAAATAGTTCGATCCACCAAAGTGCATATGTTTACTTTTGTCATCCAATTTCTCTAGAAAAATCTATGCTTATTAATTATTAATTTTTCAAAATATTTCCCGCGTTTTTTTTCTCCAACAAATGAATCATACTACCCAAGAAAAACCAATCAAATTACTCTACGCTAAAATGATGCCAAGTTTAAGTAGTTCAATTCATTCTACACTGTTTAGACGCCCGCCAAGTTAAAAATGTATTGAAGATTCGGCGTAATTTCGGTGTGGAATAAATTCAGTTCAATACTATTTGTAATACAAATAACACATCGGTCAATAAGTCCCGAGCCTAACCACCGTATGGCGCCACTAATGAAATATCCACATGATTTTTCGAAAGTACCAACCTTCAAAAGATTACTGTCAAAATTTCATGACATTTGGACTATTATTTACCTAGTTACAGTGGTTTAAGTGACGCTACTTTTGTAATTTTCAAAACAATGGATTCAAAGCAATTTCGTGTGTTGATTTATCATTGCTATTTAATGGGTAAAAATACCGTTCAGGCTGAGGAATGGCTTCAAAAGTGTTACCCGGGATCTGCTCCATCAATTGCAACCATCAAACGATGGTTTGCCGATTTCAAACGTGGTCGTACGGACACCGATGATGCTGAACGCTCTGGTAGGCCAAATGAGGCAGTTATTCCAGAAAACATCACAAAAATCAACAAAATGATTATGGCCGACCGCAAACTGAAATTGCAGGAGATAGCTGACATCCTAAAGATATCAAAAGGCAGTGTGTACACAATTTTGCATGATCATTTGGGCATGAGAAAGCTGTGTTCGAAATGGGTGCCGCGTTTGTTGACACCGGAACAAAAACAAAATCGTGTCGATGATTCGGAGAGCTGTTTGACCATTTTTAAGCGCAATCCGAACGAGTTTCTGCGTCGTTATGTAACCATGGACGAAACCTGGGTCCACCATTTCACTCCGGAGTCAAATCGGCAGTCAGCTGAATGGACAGAAGCCGGTGGAAGTCGACCAAAGCGCCCAAAAACACAAAAGTCAGCTGGCAAGGTTATGGCCTCAGTATTTTGGGATGCGCACGGAATAATATTCATCGACTATCTTGAAAAGGGAAGAACCATCAATAGTGAATATTACATAGCATTGCTAACGCGTTTGAAGAAGGAAATCGCCAAAAAAAGGCCTCATATGGCAAGGAAAAAAGTGCTCTTTCACCAAGACAATGCACCGTGTCACAAGTCGATGGTTACGATGGCCAAACTGCATGAATTGGGCTTTGAATTGCTTCCCCACCCGGCTTATTCTCCAGATCTGGCCCCCAGTAACTACTGGCTTTTTGCCGATCTCAAAAAAATGCTCCAGGGAAAAAGATATGGCTCGAATGAGGAGGTGATTGCCGAAACTGAAGCCTATTTTGAGGCCAAGGACAAATCGTTCTACAAAACTGGTATCGAAAAGCTAGAAAGGCGTTGGAATGATTGTATCACTCTAAAAGGGGACTATGTTGATGAATAAAATTGAATTTTGGCAAAAAAATGTTGTTTTCCTACTTAGGCTCGGGACTTATTGACCGATGTGTTATATGTATTCAATTCAAGTTAAATTACTCCGAAGCTACACCGTTTGTCCATTATATTTTTAACTTAATATATAGGTGGGCCACCTTAGGTGGCGTTACATATTGATAATTTAAGTTCAAGTTATTCAATTTATTCCACACCGAAGTTACGCCGAATCTTCAATACATTTTTAACTTGGCGGTCATCCAAACAGTGTAGAATAAATTGAACTACTTAAACTTGGCATCATTTTAGCGTAGAGTAATTTGATTGGTTTTTCTTGGGTAACTACTAATAAAAACCATCATATTTTTCCGTTACAATAATATCGGTTTTATTTTTTAAAAAATCGATTGAACAACTTGTTGCAACAGTTGTAATAATCCAATTTCTAAAATTTTATACGAATTCATCTAACAAATGGCTCGGTACAATTCCGTTATTTGTTTCTAAAATTATGGCTAAAATTCGCGTTAAATTACATACGGTTCCACTGACAATGTGTGCAAAGCCAATTTCATTTGTTTCCCTATCTTTGACATACGAGAAAAGAAGTCTTTTGCTAATATAATCACTGTAATAGTTTAGATTACCAACTTCAATGTACTTTTTGCTGTGCGGTGAAAACATTTCAATTTTGGCCGAAAGGCTTTCTGCCAAATTCAGTTCTTTGGCTGGCGTGTACAAAATCCGAAAATGAACGTCAAGTTTTTGGAAAAGTTGCGTGATCATAGCAAGGGTTTCCTTAAATTTGTGTAGCATTTGTTCTTCTGAACCAGCCTGGAATATTTGTACAGTACTCGATTGACTAACATTATATAAGCTGAAAGTGTCTTGATTAGTTCGGCTGTACGTTCGCCCAGCTGAAATCCACTGTAAGGGTATATACTTTCCCCACACTCGCAGTTTAATTGCATATCCTAGAAAGCTTAACATTGAACTGTTACCCACTAGATGCATCCAATTCGTGTGATGTACATCGAGCTCGTGTGGCACTTCATAGAATTTTTCCAACGGTAATCCAGCACCTTCCACCAAAATGGTCTTCGCAAAATCTGGATTGCTGAAATCAATGAAATTATGCTTGCGAAAATAGTTAATACAATAATTGCTGAAACTGTTGTCGAATTTAGCGGCGTCACCCTTCAAAAAATACGCTGTATTGCTGTAGTATTCGATGGAATCCTCATAGGCTAAATGATGTTCTCGTTTTTCGTTGCATATTGTTCCAAAACTTGAAACGATTTGCACTTCTTGTGGTGTCAAACAATTCGTTTCATTTGGTAATGATAAAAACTTTTTTACAAATTTTTCTTCGACTTCATCCAAAGCACCGGTGCAATTGCTTAAATCCTCTGCCAATGTCTCCAATTCCAATGCGTATTTTCGTCGGGCATCTTCGCGTTTTTTCAGTGTTTCACCATATTTTGCTTCTTTCAACCGTTGTGAGGCTTCTTTCTGGAGATTTTCGATTTCTTCTTTTTTTGATTTGATCGAACTGTACATTTCCCACTGCGAAAATAGATCATTCACATCAAACTGCTCGGACAATCCTCGACGTCGTAAGTTGTCTTCCACATCTTTTGGATTGGACAAACGGTGCTCAAAATCCAATATTGGTGTTAAAAGTCTTAAATTCTTTTTTATGTTTTTGTTGCCAACGTACAACGCCTGGACAAATCGTCGAGGTGTGTTGAAAATATCGTTCACCCGAAGCAACCGTATCAACATTCTGTGACCACCGTGATTTACTTTGTTTCTGTTTATATTTATACTTCAAAATTTGATTTGGTGTGAATAAATTTCGAAACATAACCTCAACGCGCACTAAATTGACAATGACATCATGCAAGTTATACCATCATATGGCTAGAGTGCGACACTCGCGCAGTAACTAAATTTAAATCAACAATTCTCAAAGGGAATATTTTCGAACGAATTCTTTATTAAAAATATGAACATGAAAAAATAATAATCATAATGGTAGCATGTAAAACGTACTTCGTCAACTTAATATTGAATTCAAATGTGTTTTTTTCTCCATTTCGAAGGCTATGCGTGACAATACTCCCAAGTGTCCATTGTAATATGTTCGGGTGTTGTTGTGAGCCATACAATTTGACCTTGTCGGAATACCTTCCCTGCGTAATGCGTTATTGAATTCCAAATGCGTCGGACTGTCTCGAATTGATTGCTATCGCTCAGTTCAGCATTTAACGAAATTTTTATATTTTCAGAGCATTGCCTTACTTTGGTCAAAGTCTCTTCATCTTGTGCATTTAGATCGCACAGCAATATTCTGCAACCTTCCAAATATAAGTTGGGTATCGATAGATTTTCCAACAGTAATTTCCAGGTGACTTTGGTCAATAGGGAATTATCTCGCAACGACAGTGTTTTCAGTACTTTGGAACGCCTGAGCGACTGTACGATTTGCCAACAATTGACATCGTTTAAATTCAGTCCACACAAGTAAACCTCTTGCAAATTGGAACAAGTGCCCGCGTCGAACATTTTCGTTAGCGCATCGACTAAATTCTTATCTTCTCGCCCATGCGATAGTGGACCGCAGAATGAAAGTTTCAACGTTTCCAATTTGCACGAGTTCAATTTGTCGATTGATCTCAACAAACCGGTCGGAGTGAATAGATTGAAACTTAAATCGATGTCTGTTAAGTGTGCAAATCGTAAATCAGCACTTTGGAGATCGGACAGATCAGTCGACGATAAGTGTAGCGTCGACAGTTGGCTTAAATTAGAGCAGATTTTTTCTAGCGTACTCAAACTCTGATTTTGTAATGGGTTGTTATTCAGTATTAAAGTGTTGAGCTCGGGCAAACAGTCTGATGACTCCGTATCAAATATGCTGCCCAAATATTTTATCCCAGTTGCAGTGATTAAATTGCCGGCGAGATTTAAAATGGTAATCTGTTTCATTGTGGGCAAGGCTTGTGCCAGATGTTTGAAGCCTTCATCTTCGATGAAGCTATTGGTGAGGTCGATTTTAGTGATGTTCGATTGAAAATGTAATGCTTTGAACAGTGGACGACTATGTTTGGGCGATAGCATTTGATCGTTTATGGACAGCGATTGCGTTGAGGCAATGAGCTCGATTTGGGCTTTTATGAATGGATCAGCGTCTGAATATCAAAAAAATGAAATTATTTGGAATTTTGAATGTTTTTAGGGGAAAAAATACATCGAATTGAAATGAAACGCACCAGTTTTTGTTTGTGCACACGTTTCCATGTAACGTTGAGTTAACGGTGGCATTATCCACTCCAATACGTCCGATGCAATTGCTGAATTCTCGGCGAATGCCGAACTAATCGGATCAGAGTTTAATAAAATGGCACCATCCTTTGTCGTGAGACGCAATACTGGCTGCACTCCTTTTAATCTGTAGAAATAACAAACACAGTTCCGCAATAGAAAATTGAAAAAAATGCAAAACTATCTCAAATTGTCCGCTGCAACTTACCCATAATATCGTTTTGCTGCCTCCTCTCCCAACCATTCGATGGTCAAATCTTTGGCATTGTTCATATTCACCGGGATATTTAGGTACAGATCATGAACCTGCACTTTAATGGAATGTGATTGAATGGGTGTCGATGCGATGCTAATGACTTTGTGCGGTGAAATGCTTATGATTTTATGTGGTGACACAACCGTTGATGATACAGACGATGGCATCATAAAGTCCGGTGAAATGGCACGATGCCGCTGAAAGCCACTTTCAAGCAGAGATGATTGCATCATTGATTCACCGGATAGTCGATTGACGCTTGACGATGATGTGCGACGCTTTCTTCGTCGCTCATTCTGGTGCGATCGATTTTGCATCAGAATATTCAAGGCATTTTCCTCATCCGAATCATCACTCAAAACAATATTATTCGTCGATGAAACGACCATTGAATCGTTGAATGAATATCCGGATGATTTTGGTTTATCTTTTTTTTGATTAGTTGACTTGTTTGATTCGGCCGAAAATGTTCTTTCATTCAAATATCGTCGACGTTTTGCACTCGGTTCAAGGTCATTTTCCAACCAATTGTCATCGTCAATTTCCTCTGGAGCCAACATTGCCGACTTTTTAACCGTCTTTTCCACTGGCTTGAATGATTTTGATATTGCATTTACCTCGCTCGTAAAGTTTCGCGTTCGTAAATCAGACATAACTTTGCGATAATCGGCTGATGCTGAAGAAGATTCTCTGGGTCGTTCTCTGTCGGGTGAATTGGACGATGGCAATTCCTCATGAAGAATACTATCAATGTTGTCGAACTCTTCACTATCCGGCAATCGATTCTCATCGTTGTTACCATCTTCGCTCGACGTTGATTCGCTTATAATTCGATTGCGAGATGTCATCGAAGGCCGCTTCACTAGGGTACGAACCTTCGATGGATTTTGTGATGGCGATTCGTCAACACAAGCACTTACACCCGCTTTCTCTAGCTGCTTATACATTCGCTCGTAAATTATTTCATAGAAACTTTGATCTTGTGGATCTAAAATTCGATCCTTTCGCCATTTCATCAGTGTTTGTAGCGCTGTATCACCTTTGTCGTTTTTTAACGTTGCATTCGCACCACGATTCAATAGCAACTCTACCACTGTCAGCACCCCATTTCCACACGCATCGTGCAGCGGAGTGAAACCTAGAACATATTACAAAAGAAACATTAGTTTCTTAAATGGGAGATGAGATATTCCAAGCAGTTTACCTTCACAACCAGTTCCACCTTTGTCATTGATTGTTGCACCATTATCCAAAAGTAGTTCGACAATGTCGGTAAATCCATGGTTTGCAGCTTCATGCAGCGGTAGCCAACCAGCATGATCACGAACATTTACAGGATGGCCTGAGGTAAAAACAAAGCGTTTTAATATAAAATATTGTATTTGGAAACCAATGGGTTTCGTTCGATTATGTTGCGTACCTTGATCGATCAATCGACGTGCTGTTGTTAAATTTCCCGAAATGCATGCGCGATGCAGTTGTGATTCTCCTTTTTCATTCTTCTTGACCGTGAAACAGCCTCGTTTTCTCAGTGTACGTGCCTGATTTGTGACTGCAGTTAGTTTTCGTTCCTCTTCTTCGTTTTCACTCGCCGAATCCGATAATGTTTCCAAACAAATGTCGTCTCCAACATCGGGTGTATTGATTTCTTCGGACGATTCAACATCGATTCCATCATTACTGTCGTCATCGCCACAATCCAGCTCACTGAAACTGTTCGATTTCAATTCCTCTCTCATGATATCGGCCAATGTTGTCATTCCATGTTTCTCTCTCAGCCCCAATTGTTTCAATAACACCATTTTCTCTTTCTTTCTGTTTGCCATATTCTGAGCCACTCGTTTTGCTTCTTCATACGTGCCATCAACGGTCCAAAAGTCTTTTCCAGCCAGTGATTGTGTATCGGCAATTCCCAACAGCGTTGAAAATGTTTCGGATGGCACGTCTTTACACAGCTCATACTCTTTTTGCATAAACTCTAACGCGCGATTGTATTCATTCATATCGCGATAGGTTTGATAAAGACTTACATAAACTGGAATCAACTGATGGCCACTGTCGCCATTCTTTTTTGCCGCTTCCAACATTTTCTTGTAGTAACCAATGGCAGCCGAGAAATTTCGCAATTTACAAGCACCATCTCCCAGTTTTTCATACAATCTCTTGCGTTCAATCAGATCCTCCGAGTCCGTTGTAATAAGCGCATTTTCCGCCTTGCACATCGCAGCCACTGAAAAAAAGTGTGATTAGGTTAATTTTATCGATAGAAGAGGTGGTTCTTCAATTCAATACATACCGATTTTTAAATTCGTTTCAATTGAGTCCGCATCACCTTCGTCCGGCGTTTTCAATTTATATGCTTTGTGTAGAATTTGCTTGGCACCCTGGAAATCGGCCATTTTTATCAACACCTCCGACTTTGACAGAAGTGTTTGACATACGCGAACCGTTCGATCGGTAGTCAATCGTTCAGCAATGTTAATGGCTAAATTGAGCAATTGCAAAGCCTTTGTTTGGTCACTGAGCTTGTTGGTATACAGCAAACCGGCATCTAGATAGCACTTATGTAACAGCTCCCAAAAGTCATTGTGACGGCATATTGACATTGCCTTTTCAAAGTACTTAATTGCTTCACTGAACTCCTCTTTGCATTCATATGTTACACCCAAATTTAGGTACAACCGTGCCGTCATATCGAGAACTTCATGTTTTGGCAAATCATTCAAACTGTTGACAAACAAGAAGAAAAAAATGAAATCATTCTAAATATCAAGTTTCAATCGACGCAAAATGAAGCGTCAAGTAGTTTTACCTCTTGCAAATGAGTAGACTTTTTAAAAATTGCTTTTCGGCACTTCTGATGGATTTTGCCAAATCATCGGTTTTTTGTGGTGCATTCAATTGACTCTGTGCTTTTGTCAAATACACACGTCCAATTGTTGCGTACGCTCTTTGTTCTTCGAGTTTGTTGTTTTGGTCGACTGCCGTAGCTGCAATAATTTCGTACAAAAGACACGTGTTAAAAAACATTGGGCATGGTTCTATTGTGAGGCGATCAAAGTAAGCTATGCATTTATGTTCAAACAAACACTTACACAGATAAATCAGCTCATGTTTCAGTGCATCTTCGAATTTTTCCAGTAACATGTACATTTCGCCGATCATGCGATGTGCTTTGGCTTCTTCTAAACGTTTTCCCAACGATTTGTACACATCGGCCTCCTCCTTGTAAGATTCCAATGCATCTTCATACTGCTGATTTTCATGGTACCAATCGCCTAAATTATTGTATGCCACAGCCAATTGACTCGGATTATTGTCCGCAATCGCACGATCCTTCTTTCGTATTAATCCTAGAAAATGTGTACACAACCATTACATACATTTAACAATTATTCCATTTTGCTGGGTTTTCTTTCATTTTTTTAACATTTCATCTTTACAACGTCAATCTTTGTATAGAAAAAAAAATATCACTCACTTTCTAAATTCATTTTATGTCATCAACTGAAATTGATATATCGTCACCAAAAAAATTATTGTCGATCCATGGTTTCACACGAATAAACAAAATGAAAACTTCAATTCATCACCGAAATCATAACAAAAGCACCCAAAAAAAACAATCAAACAAACTGGCGCTTAATGATGATGAAATCGGCTAAGGCAAATAAATGTACCGCCAAATGAAAACATGTTTGACATTCCATCAGATGTGGTCATAGTAGTATTTGTTATTGTGTTCGAATTTCGAATCGAACATGCTTTCGAACTGTCAAAGTGGAGAACACATTGTTTCTCGAAATTCCATCAGATTTGTGACATAAATATTGTGAAATTGAGATTTAGATTTAAGTAAAATGTGGTCCAGAACAATGAATCGGAATTTGGTGCAGAGATCGTTGGTGTGTTTTCAAAATCGCAACATTCACTCGAGTATAGTGTGTCATGGGTATAAACATCAAACCGACAAGGGAGCGATAAAGCCAAATTCAAAATTGCGAACTGATTTGAACAAAAATAGTGACCGGTTTCTTTACAATCCAAAGAATGAAATTCCGCTGTTTGGTTACGATGACCCAGACAAATTTGGCTCGTTGAATCGTCAAGTGTCTGAACCTGAGCCGGACGAAGGTGACATCGCCGATGACGAGCACTATCGTAATATTCCGCTTCGCCGAGATCAGTTGTCACAAAAACGATACACAGACATGGTGAAAAGGTTTATACGTGATCGACGTATGAAGGAGGCAATTGATGTACTTGAGGTTCGAATGAAAGAGGATCGAGTGAAGCCCGACTACTACATTTATGAATTGCTAATCATGGAATGCGGTCGACTTGGTTACACAAAAAAAGCATTTAAACTGTACAATCTCATGAAGAAAAGAGACCTAAGAATTAACGGTCAAGTGTATGCAGCGTTGTTTAGTGCTTGTGCAAATACGATTCATCCATCAGTTGGTCTGGAACTGGCAAAAAATCTGCGAAAGTCTTTGATTCAAAACGAGTATATCCCCAATGAGATCATTTACAATACAATGATAAAAGCGTTCGGTCGATGTGGTGATATCGACACGGCCTTTCAACTCGTCGACGAAATGAAGGATAGAAAATTGCTAATGAAAGTTCATACAATGAATCATTTGCTGCAAGCTTGTTGCTCGGACAAAGCATATGGTTTTCGGCATGCGCTAATTGTATGGCATAAAATCTATCATCACAAAATGGTTCCCGATATTCATAGTTTTAACTTGATGATTCGATGCACTCGCGATTGTGGCATTGGTGATACGGATGAAATGCGAAAAGTCATCGCGAATATTCTACAAAGTAGTCAAGCCGCCGTTAAATTGAGATCGAGTAAAAAACAACAAGTTTTATTCATTGAAGATAAACCCAAAAAAGCAATTAACGCCGCTACAAATGAAGGTGAAAACAGCGATTTGGTGGAACAGTCTGGATTGAAAAATGAACTTGCATCAAAAAGTGTGTGTGATCAAATGCCAAATCTCCTCACAAAATTACCGCATTTGGGCTCAGTTGTGAAATTATCCATGGTGCAAACACCTGAAGATCGACTTATGCTTCTAGGCGGCGTGAAAGGAATCATTGATGAATTCGAGGAGACCAAAGTTCGACCGAATGTTAAAACATTCTCGCAGTTGCTGTACACAATACCATCGACACGCGAGGCTGAACACGATTTGATTCAACAAATGCGGTATATGAGAGTTCGAGCGGACATCGACCTCTTCAATTTGCTTATCAAACGGCGCATTCTTCGAAACGATTATGATGGTGCAAAGGTAAGAGTGAAATTTCTTTCGATAACTGTTTTTGATGGGCTAAAATTTGATGTTTTCTTTTCAGCAAGTTTTGAATATGATTGCCAAGGTGAATTTAATTCCGGATATTGTGACTTATGGCGTGCTGGCAATAGGATGTAAGACACGGGAACAAGCTCAAGAATTCCGAGAGCGGCTTGATGAAAAGGGAATCAGGTAGAAAGAGGCTATCCATTAAAAATATATTTAGTTCGAAGTACTGGACAAATCGTTCATTGTTTTCCATGATTTTACAGATTGAACAACGAAATTCTGGGTGCCTTATTGAAAAATGCCACTTTCATAAAAGACTATGACTACGTCAACGATGTTCTCGAGTATGCAATGATCGAAAACATTAAGCCATCGCTTCGATTTACCGAAATTCTGGGTACTTTCAAAAATGGTCGCTATTACAAGTTGCAAAACAATGACAACAATGAAGAGCTTGCCAAGTATAATGCGTTCTACAAAGTTTATAAAAAGTGGAAATCGCAAATGGAATTGACCGGCTTATCGACCGATGAAGTGAAAAAATTATTGTATGTGCATCCGTGGGGGCAGTTGAAAGAAGCCGAAGGTGAAGGCATCGAAGACGTGAAAAATATAAATACAAGACGTCTTTGGAAGCGGCAACGCGTTCTCAAAAAACTAAACTCAAGTTGCATCGAAAAAATACATAGTCAAAATAAAACACACGAAAATTCAGAGAGAAAAGAGCCAACAGAAAATCCAGAGCAAACCAACAAGAAATAGATTTAGTTTTTTTTAGCCATTTAATTTCGATAGTTTTATATTAAATAAAAGAAAACAACATTTAAATGAACTTTCTTTTATTCGAACTGATTTTCGAAAATCAGATGCACGCTTTCGAACAACAGTAGCTGTCAAATTCGATAAGCACGTTGTTTTGACATCTCAGCGCAATTCAATCAAGTGTAATTTCAATGGTAATGGTGTAAGTTGTTTTTAGTAACCGAACGAAAAAAAAGCGAGCAGAAAACATGTTTCTAAAAGTGATATCGGCCAATTTGAGAGGCTCGATATGCAGTGCCATAGGTGCTACATCAATACAGACATTGCCCGTGTCACGAAGTAAACTACTGCAATCAATCACAATTCGTAGTCCATTGTTACAGTATTCAACCGAAAAATCCGCTTCAAGTCTTTCAAAAAGTGCGACCATCTCCACAGCGGGCAATAAAAATGAGCGCTTCTCAGAAGAAGAGATAAAAGTTTTGAATAAGGATCCAGACAGTTTTGGAACGTTATCATCTGTTAAGCCACTCATGCAGGAAAAACCGATAGATCAATCGGAACCCGAAGAAAAAGCAGTTTCAAACCAAAAACCATCGAATCGAAAATCGATCGAAGAATATGAAAAATTGATAACAAATGTGATCAAAGAGAAGGGTGTGCGGGAAGCGGTTCGAGTATTCGAAGATGAAATGCTTCAAACGGATCGAATTTTGGCGCCAGTGAGAATTTATGATTGGCTCATTGATGAGTGTTTGCGTTTCAATCATTATGATAAAGCTTTCGATCTATACGAACAAATGGTGAACCGTGGCTTGAAAATCTCCCTTCCAACCATTGAGAAACTAACACTAGCCTTTGAATTATCGAGCCTAAGTATTAAGAAAGTGAATAGTTTAAGAAAAATTCTGTCCAAATACAAATATGAAGCCAGCCCAACAATCTACAACGCAATGATTCGAATTCATAATCGCGCCAAACAATGGCCAACTGGGTTTGAATTGGCCGAAGAAATGGTACAACGTAAAATTGACTACGAATTCGATACGATAAATTCGATGCTTGAAGTCTGTAAATATGATCAAAACAATGGATTCAATCGGCTTGTGGAGCTTTGGCATCAGATGCACCAATTGGGATATACACCAAACATGCACACTCTTAACGCAATTTTGAATGCAGTGCACAGGTGTGAAATCAACGATGCCGATCAACTTTTGAAAACAGTGGAATCAATCAAGACAAAATGGAAGGCAGCTTCACAAGAAGCCAGTTTAATCGAGAATAATGAAAATATCAGAATAGAAAATGACTCGATAAATGATGGAAGACCCAATTTATTAAAAATTCCTCCAAAAATCGGCCGATTATTTCCACTGAAGAATGCAATCAAGCCCGAAGAACGTTTACTCATTCTGGGTGGCATGACTGGAATCTTGGAAATGATGAGAGTTTACGAAATTTCGCCCACACTTGATACCATCAAATCACTGTTACAAGTCGCACCAAACACGTTAATCGCCCAACAAAGAGCCATCCGTTTATTGAAAAAACACAATCTTCTACCCGATTTGCACGTGTTCACTATATTGCTAACGAAAGCTTGTGCCAGACAACACTTCAGAGATGCATTGGTAATTTTTGTCGTAAATTGGCATTCATCGGATTATATTTACATGATTTATTGTCAATGTTTTTTTTTTCTTGATGATTTACTCGTTTAGGAAATCATTGAAATGATGTACACACTTGGCGTAGAAGTAGATCTGGTGAGCTATGGGCTATTGTCGATGACCTGCAAGACAGCCGAAGAGGCTGAGGAGTTTTTCGCTGAAGTCGAACGAAACAATGTGAAGTTAGTGCAAAGCCATTTTCGATTCATTAACTTATGATTCAATTTTTTATTTGAATCGAAAAAAAAGGAAAAAAAATAGATTTTTTCATAGGGATAGATTGAATTAAATTTATCTCAATTTCATTTAAATTCCCCATTTCATGGAAAAGTCAACATTTTTTTGTCTCACAAACTTCTTATTTAGAATGGATGAAGACATCATGAATGCCATGTTGAAAAATGCTTGCGGCACTGCGAATAACAATTTCGTGATAAGCATTCTTCGTAAGATGCAATCGAAACAAGTTGAACCGCAGGAAGAGGCAGTCAAACTATTGGAAGAATATCAGCAGCAAGTGTTCCGAGATTTGCGCGCACAGCGAGTGCACAGCAATCAAACCAGAAATGAATGCTTTAAACTAACACGAGAATGCAAGCAATTCTTAAAACATTTTCGGCTAGACAAGCGTTTGCAGAACGAACAATCGAAACAGATTAAAGCGCCAGTCAAAGTTGATCATCAGCCAAAAAAATACAAACAAAAGTCATCAATATGAACGAAATTGAAACCGCAAAAAATGAATATTGATGAATTGGCGTAACCTTTTGTGATGGAAATGGCAGAAACAACAGAAAAAATCACAATCGTTTAAAATTTTGTCAATGTTTATTTTATTAGTGAAGAAAATACATTTAATATAACATTCAAAATATATTTTAGAAATGTAAATATATCTATGTCATAAAAACACTCAATAAATTCGAGAGAAAAACAAACGAAAAAGCACTATGTGTAACGAATTTGTATTGAGATTATATGATAATGGTCATTACAGTTGTTGTTTCGAGACAGAGAAAAAAAATTTGTTCCTTCTTTCTTGTTGCTAATTCAATGAAGAAAAAAAAGAACCAAATTTGGACAAAGTAAATTTTCGAATGCGTATAAAAAAATGGAATTTCGAATTTTTCCCTTGATTTTTTTTTTCATCTTCATCATCATCTTTTGTTTTATTCATCTCGATAAAAAAAAAAAAAAATAATAAGAAAAATAGAAATGCAGGTGCAAAAATAATTTTCATAACTAATTCAAAAGTTGGCTTCTTGGAGAAACTCAGACTTGATAACCAATTTGTTTTGTTTTTTTTTTCTTCTAGTCAATATTTTCGTTTTGTCATATTCAGAACTTATATGTTGCTGTTGTTGTTGTTGTTGTTGAAACAAACATTGTTAAAAACTTATGGTTGAAAGTTCATTTTTTTTTATTATTGAAGATTAGAACCAGTTTTAAAACTACGTTGTGTCGTTGGCTAATTCAAATGTTTCTCTACCAAATTTTTGTTAATGGGGGGGAGGAGGAAAAAAACGATAACATCGCCGCAGATGGATGTATGATGTGTGTACGGTGTTTACGGCTTGTCATGGAGTTCTTTTTTCCTTTCTTCAATTTTTTTTTTCCATTTTTTTGTTGTTGTTTGTTTTCAATATTTATGGTCACTAGTTTCCAAATAATTCTATTGATGCATTTGGTACGTTTAAAAGAGATTTACAAACTTGATTTTTATTTTCTTTTTGTTTTAGATGTGAACACATTGGATACATGACATCACATTACAAATCCTCTGGTTGCTTCTATTATTTCTTATTCCTGAACTCATTTGTTCAGCACAAATGTTGTGTTGCGTTGCGCTAACGTTGTTGTTGTGCATAACAAAATTCTCATTTATAAACTACACAGTATTGGAGATATACTTGATTTTTTTTTCTTCTTCTTTAAATGTAATATTTATTACTGTTATTACTGTTTGTGTGTCTATGTGTGTATTTGTGTTTCATTGAGTTTTGCGCAAAGAGTTTCATTTCAATGTTTTTTGTTTTGTTTCATTTGTGAAACATATTCGTTTGTCTGTAATTTCAGCTTGTATGTGTGTGTGTTTTTATCTTGTAATAATTCGTTTGCGTTGATCTTCAATTATTTTTACATAATTTGACTTATTACATATATCTGTGAAATATAAAAAAATTTGATTAATGCATTTAATTGATTTTGAAATGGGGAAATTGTTCGATTTTTCTTCAAAATTTCAATTGAAACAATTTCAATGAAAGAAATAAGCAAAGAATATTGATCAGAGTGTGTGTGATGATATGGTGACACATACAGCATGCACGAATTAGATACCCATTTACAATGTAGACAACATCGATGATAGAGTAAAATACACAGTAAAAACTACAGTCGAATGCAGAATGATTATCATAAACAGTCTTGGTGAAGAGTGGATTGGTTTTATTTTTGTTTGTTTCATTGTTGTTGTTGTTGTTTTTTTTATTGACAAAGGTTAATCTAGCTATAAAACGACAATAAATTAATGAACACAATGTAAACACATATATAATGAATGCTGTGTGTTAAAGATACGCAATGAACATCCTAATTAATTGTATAATATTCCGTTTGTAGCATAGTGGCTTTAGATGGCCACGCCATTTCATTGCTCTTTGAAAAAAGCGAGAAAATGAATAATTAGTTGTGTGAGTCAGTATCAACGCGACATGGCACATCTCACGAATGCCATACTATATTGCTCTGATTTTTTTTTTCTTGTCTCGAATTCAGTCTGTGTGTTGCTTTCCACTGTATATGGACAATTAAAGTTTGATTCTATTTGAACTAATGGAAAACGATGCACTTGCCATTTGATTTCATTGTCACTTTTGAACTGCATCGAGACCAAGAAGTACAAAAGCAGATCGGGCAAAGACAACAACGACCGACTGGAAATTGTAGCATTAATAAAATGTCGCGTCCAACACGCCTACATTGTATCATACGCTTGCATTTTGTGTGGTGATCTTAATTAAAACTTAAACACAATTTTTTTTATTTCGTTTGTTTGGCGCAATATTTAAATTGATGTTATGCCTGTGCGTTTGGGTATTGACTTGGTTGTATGTGCATGTGTGGCGAGGACATGAATTGCAGTCGATATTTGGTGACCCGACATGACCTTCGCGCTCAACATACATCTTCTCTTCCTGAATCATGAATAGAAGCGATTTTCGTGTTTCTTCTGCACATAATGGCCGTCATTGTTGTTCGAATCCGTCTTGAATTCAGTTGCGTTTATTTTTATCTTTTTCACTAAATCCACAACCAGATAGCAAACACAAATGACATTCGATCGTTGTTGTTCATTTCTTTTTCTACTCTTTTGAAACAAAAAAGCGAAACGAATACATTCAAGTGACTCAATTAATCTATATTTATTGGTGGTATTGGAGTGCAGTTTTCAAGTGAATTAATTCAGCAGAGACACACACACACACACACAAAACGGCGCAATATATCGCTATGACTGTACGAATTTTGGCACGTCTCTATCGAGATCGTACTAAGCAACAGTCAATAAAATGATGTCATAGATCACACTTTTGGACAAGCGTTAATTGCAAACGTGGAAACACCTATTTTTTGTTCATAATTCTTTAAGTTTTCGATATAGTCGCAGATACAGAAACAACACTCGTGTGTAATGGATTATATTACTAAAAAAAAACAATATTGGTTATTTTTGATATTGATAATCCAACATACATTTTAACCAAACGGAAAAGAAAAAACTAAAGAAAAAAAGCAGTCGGAAACCCGCAACGTTGAAAGAGAGTTATGAAAGAAAGAAATCAATACCAAATTCATGCATTTGATTTGCATTAGAAAGTTGACATGCTGCATATAGAGTAGACGCTTTTTTTGTTGTTTCCATTTTTGCGTCATCCAATGAAATGGTTTCATCCATTTCTGCCATTAACACAAAACCGTTTACATGCTTAAAAATAATTTGGTTCAATGTATTGCAAATTGTACAGTTGGGAGAGCATACAAGCAACAAGCATTATCTATATAATCTAAAATTCATATTTCTCTAGATATTACTTCATTTTTTCTCACACATCGAATCCAAACGGCCAGAGACGCTTTTATTTTGATCGATATTTTTGTCTTACTCGTGTGGAAAGTGTGTAGTTAGCACACATAAACCATAATTTATGAGAAACAAATAAATGCATTTTATTCATCATCATCATCATCATCAATTTCGGTTCATGAATTATGTGAGTTGAGCACGAGTTCGAGATATTCTATTTCGAAGAAAAAAAAAACAACACCAACTACAGTTCGTGTTATTTATTCCGACCAAATCTCTCTAGCACATTTCATTCGGTTATGGAAAATATGGAGCAACAGCAAACCAAAACGGAAAAAATTAAACGAAAAGAATAAGAATACTGCTAAACGAATTGAAATACAAATACAAACAGGGGGGAATCTATGACATACAATTATAGTTTTATTATTTCGAATGCGACTTCCAAAACATATTCTTTATAAATTTTACTAATGCAATGCTAAGCTGTGGTTGAATAATATATATACGTTTTTTTGCGTTTCTTTTTTCATTTTTTCTTCTTCTTTTGTTAATTGGCATAGACATTAGGAATTGGAAGAGTGGCTAAATAAACGATAATCGTATAATAAATGTAAGTAGTAATTTTAAAGTACAGGCACATCAAACGAAAAGTTTTTTTTTTATTATTAATGGTTAAATGAATTAGATCCCTATGTAGTTCCAAAATGATCCCTATGTGTGTAAATGTAAAAAAAAAAAATTGTTTTGCATTGAATTTGTGGAATTTTTAAAAAAAAAAATTTTTTGTCTTGATTTGTCGAGTGTTCTATAGTTACTACTCGTTTTCAAACTGTGCGAAAAGATTTAGTATGCCAACCTTCTTTTGTAGTTACGAATGTGATTGCTTAGACAGCAGGCAAAGATGAAGCCGACCAGCTGTGAAATAGATAGATAAAATACCACAAATCATATTAATAAAATCGTAATGACAGCGCGCAATTTAACTCATTTTCGAGCATTAGATGCCTCAATTTAATTACCTCAACGGCTGCTACAGCAATAGCAGTGCTACCAAAGATTGTCGATCCATCGGTAATCAATTCGTGAAGCGATGCTGAGCATCCCTGACCATATGCATTCACCAGAGCAACGCATTCAATGGCGTTAGTCTCACAGCAAGATGGTGGTGTATTTGGAATCCATTCGGTAGCCGAATGCAAACCGCAGCATTTGAGCTAGAAAAAATGTTAAAATCGGAACAAGAAATGAGAAAGTAGTACACCCAGCAATCGATTGACCGATAAAAAGTTCCCCGACACAATTGTTTGATCGATTGTTACCGCAAAGGGGAAGAAAATCAAATGTAAAAACAAAAAACAAAAACCGAACACATTTATAAGCTCCACTTACTCCTTGTTGGATGGTGTCCCAGAATGCGCGATGATTTTGTCTGTCTCGCCATAAGTTGTTCAATATTCTTTCGGAGACGCGTTGTACCTCGCGTTTGTTCGTAAACACCAAAACGCCGACGACAATTTGAGCGACTAGCAAGAGGAAGAGGAGCACCGCATACTAAAAATAGGACAAACACACCAGTTTAATCAAACATCATACGTATTAGCTCGGTCTCGTTAACAATTCATAAATCTCTGCTCTATTCATCGGTTTACTCAAACCATTTTTGTTTGCTGAGCAAATCAAAATCAATAAATAGTACAGCGGAATCGATTTTTCATACTATCGTCATTAAACCATAACGAAAACGTCCCCATTCCTCTCTCTCTCTCTCTCTTTCTTTCAATCGCTCTTTTGTTTACAAACAAAACATTCACTTATATGCATTGCCGACTCTATGTGTAAAAGTTTTCGGCGTGACGCAGGAAAAATCATTGTGTGATTTTTACCGCACGCATTCTGCATAGCAAAAAAAAACTACTCGATTTTACTACTTGGAAAATGAAAAGAACGACGTCAACGTGCGAGAGAGTTGAAGTTAACGCGTACGCGAGTATGCGCTCGCTCTCGCGGGATCATATACCATCGTCCCCGATGCGTACTTACCGTTAGAATCATGCATTCGGACTCGAATATGGCGCCACAGCATCCAAAGAACGCTATTAAAAATATAGCTGAGCCAATAACAATGAACCCGATTGGCGCCACATTGACATTTATATCTTTAAATGCATCCAAAACATCTTCATACTTCAACAGGGTTCCAACGCCGACAGCGATCAAGGCGATGCCGCACAACTGAAATCAGAATAAAAAATCAGTAAGCAAACCATCAGAAAATTATGTCGCCGTTAAAAGTAAAGAAAAAAAAAACACAAATCAAAGGAGAAGAAGAAGAAAAAAAGAAGGAGAAAATTGCAGGTAAATTTGATTTAATGACTTTCGGTTCGGAAGCCACCGGTGAAAGACTGTGCAGTGTGGAACAGATGCAAGCCCATAAATTCATGTATATTTGTTGTGACAGATTCAAGTTATTGGAAAAAATTTTCGATAAACATCGACGTAAAGGTGAAAGTGATTGGTATCGGTTGTGTGTTGTGTTTTTTCTGTTTTCTTTTATTATTCGCGGTAATATCGGGCGCGAGCGCGCGCGTCCATGCACGTTCACTCACGCCCGCTTATCTCATTCGTTTGGTTTGGCCTTGCCAAGACAAGTAATTCAGTGGGAGCAAAAAGCGTACACACAAAATCACACAACAAACTGCAAAGGAAACGGGCGCGCAAGCTAGCAATAATCAAACAATGGATCTATGTTTCGGAAAAGTAAATATTAGTTTTTGAATGGGATCTGTTTTGATTCTACACTTGATGTAAAATAAACAAAAAAATTGCGTTACTCTCTTTCGTTGTTTCATCGGAATGGCGCTGTGAACAACAACAACGCAAAAAAAAAGAAATGGTTTTCTCCACCCATGAATTATTATGTCATCATGTTTGTAGTCGATAGAAATATGTGTGATGATGATGAAAAAAATAATGCGAACCGAGTCGCGCAATTTGCTGCTTCTCGTTTAAATAGATAGTGATACATATATAAATAACCATATGAGTGGTGTGAGTGTGTGTACTGTCGTCATCGTCGTCGTTGCAGAAAAAGCCAGAGAAACAAGAAAACAATCGAGCCATCCGTTTACACACAAGATCCGAAATGCTGAACTGAATGTGTGTTTGTAGCCATTATTTAAAGTTTTCTTTCTCCTGCTCTGGTGTCTGTGCTTGTATGAGCGTCGGTTTCGGTTTTGTATTTCTTCTTAAGTCAGCCGCCGCCACAGCAGCAGCAGCAGCAGCAGCTTATTGCCGTGTCGTTTTTAGTATTTTTGGAAGTCGTTTTGCTCAGATGAACAAGAATAAATGATTGAACGCACACTCAGCCATCAAAATAGAAAGTGTTCGAAATGCAAAGACAAAGCAGCAGCCGCGCAGCCACAGCAGCAGGCAGGCAGAAAAAGCGGGCTCATTGTTTATTGCTTAAAATGCTTCTTTTTTTTATTTAACTCTTTTTTTTCTCTCACTCTCTGCACATTTCACAAATGTATAAGTCAGCGGACAGCATTCAATAACTAACAATCATACTGTCGAACGCCGCAGACACACACAAACAAAAGAAGAGACGAATAAACAAACCACTCCGTACGATGGCTTCTCTCATGCACAAAATGGTACTGTGTTTTATTTTGTCATGCCGACACAACGAGCTCATTCAATATAAAATTTTCTGAAATTATACGCTCACCATATCGACACAACATTCTTCGCTCAATTTTTCAGTATCAAACACGACCTGGTTTTCGTTTTGTAACCGCTCAAAAGACTTGTTTCGTATTCCATTTTTTTTTGTAAAAAAAAGAAAAAGAAACATAGATTGAAGTTTTGGAAAAGCATAATTAACTTGAGCGGCTCATAGAATTTTAGGTCATATCGGATTTCGTAATCCAAATGTTATGATAACCAACGAATTTAACAAAGAAGACCGTGACTGAGTAGACTGATGGTACGATTTTAATACGTAGAGTCTACAGTTTTCAGTGACGAGTCACATCCTTCTTTCACAATGACCTGACTTCAAATCAGCGAAATTACATTCGAATCTGGCGGAGAATGATAGATAAGCGAACTAGCTAAACGCACTTCTATTCATACTAATCAATTATTTATCTAATTATTCACTCTCAATACATACAAATTTCGGCTGAAAAATAGACGAAATACATTTATCTTATCAAAATATCGTCTACGCACGATATTAATGACATTTGTCATTCATAAAAAATGTATTGCTGTTAACATTGAATCATCATCATCGTCATCGACACCGAAAGAATGGACTAAATTTTATTGATGTAATTAACGTACAATTGACTTGAAAAGTCTTGGCCCGAAATTGTTCGGTGCTTGTTCACTTTGTTTTGTTGTCATTCTTTCTCTCTACCTCATTTCTGTCTGCGGTCAATAAAGAATATTCCGGCATAATCTGTGTTCTTCAAGCTGTATGAATTGCTCGTTCCATTATGTTTGAGATCAAACATGTATATTTTCGTGTTAATAATGTCTCTGTTGAATCTCTCTAAAACTGAGTCGAGAATTTATCGTCTAAGAATAGAAACAGGAATGACATTTTGCGGAACACATTATGTGGTGTTTTTACTGTTGAAATAAAAACGTACACAAGCACATGCAACACACGGTGACACCATCGAAATGCATAGGAATAGTTTATACGTTCTCTGGTTTTTTTTTAATCCTTCGGAATCGATCGATCTTCGCAACGCAAACATCAAAGATTAATGATTGGCCAAGTGTAACTCGAATCGCATACGTAAAAATGTCATTTGCATAGCGTCACATGAATGGAATTAGAAGCGAGCGGAAGTGGAAGGGATGTGGTATTCAAAATGGAACGGTAACCATTATTAGTAGTTAAAATACGGTGAAAACTGCATTCAATATGCATTGACATCGATTATCCATGGCTAAATCGCTCGAACATACCGTGTTGTGTGTATATGCTTCTGCGAACAGCACAATTTCAGAGACCGACTTCAAATCGATTGCAAATTGAGATCATATGCGCACCGTAAGTGCTGTAGAGCATTTGCTTTGCGTAGATTTCATCTCGCTCTCATAGACAACGGCGGCGGTGGTGCAGAGTTTTCGTTGTTGCACAAAACATTTGAAGTGGGATTGCTTCACAGTGTGCGACAATGAATCCATAGCAAATGACAGTCAAATGGAAGACACACTGTGTGTAACGTGACTCACTCCATGCAGTAATGAATAAATATTGGTGTGACCCTGAATCAAGACGACATTATTCATTACTCTTGCCTGATACAATTAATTCGTATAATTTCACATTTTCTCTCTCTCTCTGTTTCTCTCGTGTTTATCTATTTGCCCCTCTTTCTATCTCAATATCTCTATCTCTCTGTGTATGTATGAGAATCTACTAATTGCAAGTTGAAACATTGCTTTGATTTATAAATGTGAAAAAAATGATTGCTTTTCAGCACGATATGAATTTTGTAATAACATATCTTATCTCCTGTGGAGAAAAGTCCAAAACACTTTCGAAATTAAAATTCCTGGAATTTCCTTGGAGACAATGAAAATGACAATCGCACAATAACAAAGAACCGAATAATTGGTTGGGATGAAATTGATTTTAATGGAGAGTGAGTGCGTGCATCGAAATCCGAGTATGACACATTTGTTTCGACCGAAATTGTCAATTTACATAATGTACCATTGAGCGACATTTAATACACCAAGTCACGTTCAATGCTCTGTTCGAACAAGCCATTGAAATTGCCGTGATTTTGCGCCGAAAATAAAGTGCAGGTGAATTGATGCGTTCGCTATTACCACATTTTACAGAACAAAATAAAAATTTAATCCGACTGTTGTATACATAATAATAAAGAAGAGACAGCAAATGCTGCCGCAATAATTCCAGGAATTAAAAATAGATTATATGCTGTAAACAACGCGCCAAAAATAACACACACATATAAACAATCAACGAAGCAAATACAGAAAAAATGCTGAAAATTGCATTTAACGATATAAAAAAACCAGATAAAGCGAGATAAAAGAAGACAAAAAGGAGCCACACGGCAAAAAGGGAGAATCAACATTGCATATTTCGCTATTCGCTGTATGTTCGTGACAGTTGTTTTTTTCTTTCATTTCGTACGAAAAAATTTCATTTCGTCAAACAGGCGTGATAATGTTTTTTATTGGATTTTTTTTTTTGGCTTGCAACGACCCATGTTGAAGTGGGAATATATGTGTGTATATCGTTGATCCATTTTGTCGGTCGACCTGCGTTCATGCTACCATTTTTTTTGTTATTGTGTAAATAATTCCATCTATTTTTGCACTGAATCAATAGTTGATTAAGTTTATTTTGTGTCCGATTAGTTTTGTATTATGATAACACGGCATGCACTTTGAATGTACACACACACACACTGTACTGTGTCATGTACAGCATGAAAATTATACGAGAGTACAACAACAGAATAATTAGACACATGTATACGTAACGTACACATTGCGGCAATGTTGATATCGGATATGTGATACGTAGATAAGATATAAGCGACAAATTTTCAGTCAAACAATAATGCACGGTTGAAGTCACATACTAGCCGAATATTGTTTTGTTTTGTTTTCTATTTCTCGTTCCCATTTCAATTGACACTTGCCTGAATCACTTTGTTCATTGGGCGATTACTAAGCGAATTGGTGGCTTTTACAAATTTGTCCTTCCCACATTATTCATTCGATATAAAATTTACAAATATGACGCGGGTGGAAGTTTAGGCCGGGCCGGGCCGTTTAAGCGACACCGTTCAGGCATCACACACACTCACACACACGTGTAAATAAAAGACACACGTAGTATTTTGAAGATCGATTGACGCATACCATAAATTACAACCTATTAGTTTTCAGTTGTTGTTTTTTTGTGTTGTCGTTGGTGTACACCAAAATACATATATTGCAAAAGTCTTTTTGGAATCCCGAAATGTTTCGGTAATATAATTAGTCAATAAATCCCGTCATTTATCAGAATTTTGCGTCTTTCTTTTCTCTCAATTCAAGTACTTTGATTAGATTTGGCAACGAACTAATTTGACCCATCAATTTTCCACCAATTTAATTTAGTATCTACTGCGACTTCATTCAGTACACATCTATTGCCAGTAATTTAATTTAATTGATGCAGTGAAAGTATAATGGATGGAAAAATCTTATTAGATTGATTCGAAAGTTGTTGGAATTGCCTTCAGAGACATTCGGCATCAATTCAATCGCCAAATGTCATCTCTGATTTTGGTTTTTATATTTTTGCGTGAAATAGTTTTGTGTCCATTTTTCGACAATTTCCATTTAATTCCAAACAATTGATTCGAATTTTTATTTGGCGGCTTCAAGAGACGGAAGAAGCACGAACACGATGAAAAGAAAAATGTGGTGAAAACTATGGTTTTGAGAGCGCAACCATGTCAATGATGTGCTGTACTGAATAATAACCGAATGGTTTTTTTTCATCGCATTTTCTTTACGCACAAGGTTGAACAAAGAAAAAACACCATAATTTTTTGTGTCTCTCTTCTAAATGATGTTTGCCGAATATCAAACCAACATTTCGGTGTTGCGGTTCTGTTGAAGGTGTCACTTTGAATAATTTCAAAAAACGTGAACATAAAAAAAAATAGAAGAGACGGTTGATAATGAACAAACACGCACGGGTAACATGTACCATTTTAGAAGCGAACGAAGACAGTTGGGGGTATTGTCACGATGGTCATTTAATCTAGAGAATGGCTTATCGGCAAACCTTAATTAATTTGATTTGACATCGTTATTCGTTAATTTCCCCAGTCGACTTTGGCAGTGGTGGTGGTGTTGGTGGTGATGGTGACGTTACCGGAAGCAAATTATTCGCGTGGATAGAATTTTAGAGTTCTCTGTCAAATGAATTCTCACGGATGGACTGACTCTATCTACACAAATTTTATGAAATTAATTGCTATGGCATTCGCATCATCGTGTGTCGAAATATTTTGTGTGTGTGTGTGTGTGTGTGTATGTTATGAAGCGTAAAAATAATACAAAACGCAGACAGAACTTTCACCGTAAATCGCGTGCAATTTTTGTTACGGAAAAATGAAGCAGTAAACGAAATCATATTCTCTTGTACACATGCAATAAGTTGGCGAAGAAGAAATGGAATTTAATTTAATAAATTTGGCCTCTTCATTTAGCCTAAATGAAATTGTGAGTCAGGAGTTTAGTTGTTCTGGAAGTGAAGCCTTCGCCATGAAAAAAAACACACATGACGCGCGGTATACGTTTCGGAATGCAAGTGTTTTCATTCAATAAAAAAAACATTCGTTAATCGAAATTTGTTGCGGTCTGTCGACGATAGGCAATAAAAACACATGTTGCTGCTGCTGTTGCTGCTGCTTGATCACCGATGAAGTCACGAATAATGCTGATACACTAAGAACAACGTATCATGTTCATATTTCAGCGGCTATTCAAATTGTTTTTGGAAAATGTATTACGCTTTGCGAATCGATTCTTCGAATGATCAAGAAATATAAGAAATGAGCGAACGAACGAATGAGCAAAGAAACAATGTGAAACAACAAGAGCGCACTGATTGATCCAAACATTTCGAAAAATGTTTATAAATGACGTCGTTCTTCATAAATTGAGATCACACGTACACACATAAGTCATTTCGATGCGTTGTATCGTTGCTGTTGCTGTCGTCGTCAACGACGATGACGGTGGCGGCGGCGGCGGTGGCGTTGTCATTCTTTCTTTTTCTCTTTTTGGTTTTCTTTTTATTCATTCAAAATCTCAAAACCGCAACTCCGTAATTAGTTTCCAGAGCTGAGGTGGACTAAATATGTATATAATTGTTATTTGCCGGATAAAAAGCTGTTACGGTGGTAAAATGCCAAGTACACACTAGGTACTATATAGGCACGATACCCATGCAGAAAAATATATTAATTAAAGAGTAAAGCAACTACGAAACTAACTACAGATATGGATTTTAAGGTGTTGGCCACATAAAAGTGTGTGAATGTATGCGCCTCGGAATCTGAGCGTCGATGTTGTCGTTGCTGTTAATTCAACGTGACTTCATGCTCATTTTTAATAGCCTACTCTCTCTGTCTCTATCTCAATCTATCTCTGTCGTTACGTTTCTATGCTACTGTGAAACTAGCACCGCAAAACAGATAGGCAAATTTTAAATTGTCGATTTCATGCGAATAATTGAATTCTGGAATGGGAAATGACCAAAGCGAAACAACAGACACATGCACACAAAATAATAGGGCAAAAACAAAATAAAAAAAAAAACACCGAAAAGCTCCAACAATTCGTTGATTAGCAATAATTTGCTGAGGGCCGAGAGAGTCACACTTGTGTGTTTTTGGTTTTGTTTTCCTTTCGTTTCATTTGAAATTCCCCAACTGTGTGCTATAGCATCTATTGGCGAGAATACACAAATCGCAATATTTATGACTATATTATAAACACAAATCTGTGTGTAAACAGAGTTAACTCATTTCCTAAAACGGCAGAAAAATATATATATATATATATTTGAAAGGGAAGATTATAGCAAGCCGCGTTCGTGTCTAATAAGCTGTGTTTTCTCTCTACTTCTTCTTCTTCTTCTCGTTCATTTTCATCATTTTATTATATTATTTGATGCTACACGCTTGCACAACAGAACACTGTGAATCTTCAGAAGCAAATCTCGACTCAATCAACTTTCAATACACGGCAGCACTGTGAGATGTTTCAGAGTAAAAATGGGGAATTGTTTTTTTCTCTCATGCACTTTCATTGTATTCTAATTGTGGTCTTCAATAATTTTCCCAGCTCAAAAGAACGACGAGCATGAAATTTATTTGCCGTACTTCCCATTGAATAAAGTAGACAAAAAAGCAACAACAACAACAACAACAACAACAACAACACCAGCACTTTATTGAATAAGTCCCCTAATTTCGTAAGGGAACCCAAAATGAAATTAAACGAAATGAACAACAGAAAAAAAGCGCTGTGCACGCCCTTTCGAAAATCGCTGAAGCAGTAAAAATATCTACGAAATGTTAACGCACATTAAAAAAAATTACTCGAGTAATTTTCGGGAAGAAAAGAATCAATCGGAAAAGACATTCGGAAAAGAATAGAGTATGAAGTCGAGTGATACGACCACTTTTACCTATGGAAATAATTTCATGGTAAATAAGAAATTGTCTTGGTCAATCACACGTTACGAATGGCATAGAACAAAATGTAAACAACACAAAAAATCACATACATGAAAGAAAATGAACAGAATGCTGAAACGTGCCTCAAAAAAAAAAATACAACACACATACACACGCGGAATAATTACAAAATGTGTATTTGGTTATATTTTTTTTTCGTGCGTCTTTTGAATGTCGGACAAACGTATATGGATGTTTACGTTTGCGTGGATACCACGGCAATATAATATGCGTAAATTCACTCCTATATTCTTTGTGCCGCAAGACATAAAACAAAATGTGGTTGAATATGATGGGCTTTGCACGATACTACTTCCATACACATTTATACATTTCAATGAGCGTTCTATTTCACCGTTTCATATATCGTTTCGGGAGTGAGTGATTGAAGGAAAGTTTCGGTTGTGCGTTTTTTTGTCGTTTCCTTTTTGCTTTTGTTGCTCTTTGATTCGATTTAAATTCTGATTCTGAAAGTAGTAATATCGAAATTATGTATAAATTTTTTCGTTCCGTTCGCACAAGTGAGTACATCGTTTCATACTACGATGTACACTGCACCTATGTTGGTCACGGTAACATGAGTTCAGTTTTTATGTGTTTTTTTTTTCGTTGCTACTTTTTTATTCCGTGTGTGTTCCGTTCGTGCATCAGCAGCATTGACTTCATCGACTCTCATTGCTCTTTATGTTTCAGTGTTATGTGCATTGAGAGTGTTGGGCTGCCCAGTTGAAACGGTGTTGGTGTGTTATGATACTACTACTGGATATGGCAGATTAGAACAGCATTCATTGCTATGAAAATGACGTAATTTCCATTCTTTTTATAGTGTGGAACCAGCACATCAACCAGAATGCTCTTTTTTCTCTCCACGCTCTCGCCTCGTTCGACCTGACTTTTGTTTGTTGCTGCTGCTGTTACTGTTCTTTTCTCTCCTCGATTCTATCTATACTTCTTATTTCATTGTCATCGTCATTGTATGTGTTGTTGTTGTTTTGCTTTTTTTTCCACTCTCTATCCACGTCTTTTACATATCTTTCCGTCGAAGCGAGATGTGGTCATGCACAAAATCAAGAAATTATTTCACAAAATCTGATACGGAAATTAAAATGCTCAATGAGAGAAGAAAAAAGTGAAGATAATTTATGAAGACTGGTTTCAGTAGTGTGTCGCTGTATTGACAAAATCAGTTTCGATTTTGACGCGCAATGTTTGAATGAAATACACATTATTCGTCGCCTTCGCCGTCGTTGTCGTTTTTAATTCCGATGAATAGGAGGGACTGAATGGCACACATCAAAATAAGCATCTCTATTTTTTGCTGCTCATAGCATCATAAAGAAAAGAAATATCATATTTATCTCTTTCTTTCTTGTCTCTTCCACTGACTGATTGCCGTTTTCTTCTTCTCTGATATGATGGCTGACGAAATTTTTGCACGTTTCCACAAATACTTGAATTTGTTTGTGTTTTTTTTTTGTATGTGGAAGTTGCTCTTGCATTTCAACCTTGTTTGCATATCTATGGCCGAGAAGACGGAATGAAAAAGTTGTAAAAACTAAAAAATAAAAACGTTTCTAGCGTCAACGGGTGACGATATTCACGTTGTTCTGAATTATTTATTACTGAACTATTGGTTTTGATCAAATGAAATACACACAGCGAGCAACGAGATGGAGTTGAAAGTCTGCGGTTTGCACACACAATTCCAGTGAAACAGCAGCAGTAGAAGCAGCAGCAGCGGCAGAAACACAATAAACCTGTTTTGATGTGATGTCGTGTCGACATTTTAGCACCATAATAACCAATAACCAAATAACAAACAATGTTAAACAACTGATGTGAGAGTGCAGCGCGCGCGCCAGAGATGTGACCATACATACATATCGAAGAGAGATGCGAAGAAAAAAGCGACAAAAAATAATATGTGAAACTGATTTAATAAAAACAATCATTTTCTCTTCATTTCGATAGATTTTCTATGATGAACGTTATTTTTTTCATTTATCTTGTCATTTGGCTTTGCTCTTTGCGATTATGAATCTATTGAAATGCGAATGGCAAAGTCGTAACCTTCACTTTAACAGAAGAATGAACAGTAACAACAATTAACACTTGAATCATTCGTCTTCCAAATAACTGAATGTGTCGATTTGCCCGTTGTTTTTTTTCTTCTTCTATCATTTCAGGAACAGGGTGATTTAATTGATTTCAAAACGAAACTATACTTACCGCGCACACCAAGTTGAAAACAAATAGAATAAATTTAACTATTGCTATGCCACAACCCATTTTTTTCTCTCAGATTTTTTATGATTCGTCGTTGATGTCGTTGATGTCGTTTCAGGTGGGTTTTTTTTCGAAAAAAAACCGATTACAAACAAAAATTCGTTTTTACACACAAAAATCGGGATATTCAGATGTAAGCCGTTTCAAATTTTGTAAACTGTGTCGGAAATGCGTTTCGTTTTCTTTTGCGTTTTTAGATTTTATTTGTATTCAACTCTATCGAGGCAAAAAAAAAACCAATTCGGAATATTGGCGACGCAATCTGCTACAGAGACAGCACTATACTGCAGGAATGTGTAACAAATACTGGTGGAAAATGTGTTGAAGCGATCCCAAAGCTTTGAGTTTTTGTTTTGTTTGTTGTTGCTCCACCTTTGCTCGGCTATTGTCGGTATCGAGCGCGAACCAAAACCGATTTTCTGCACGCATACAACCGTATCGCACACACAATATTCGCTCACTCGAGTTGTGCTCCTTCCTTCTCGCTCTCGCGCTCTCACTCTCATGCTCATTCTTTGCATACACTCATTCGGATGGTAACATAAACGCGCGCGTTTCCATGTGAATCCGGTATTGGTATTTGTGTGTTAAATGGCTATGGTAAAGTATCGTTGTTCTCTCTTCGTCATCGCCGCCGCACCGCTGCCGTTCTCGTCGTTGCTCTCTATACACATCAAAGCCATGTGCACAGCAGGCAAGCTCGATTGTATTTGTGTTTTCGTTTATGGAGCGCGCCGCTCGAAAAATGGCAAATAAACTAATGATTCTAATGATCAATTGTTTTAACACACATTTGTTTTTTTTTCTGCAGTCATACTTTGTTTTTATTTACATAGAGAGAAAGTTAATAAAATTCTTTCTTTTCGTGGATTGAAACTGACAATTTTGACAAATTTACGTTGTAAAACGATAAACATATGCTTGAAATGACATTTCCTTATTAGTGCACACCAAAATGATTGCCGATTTGTACGCCAAACTATTGTACAGTCTGAAAATGTCATCATTATGGGGAAGCGATTTGGATGGTTGTCTGCAAAAAAGATGGAAATGAAAGGCTGACAATTAAAAATTCATTTGGATTCCATTTTAAGAATCATTTGGTTTGAACAACAACAACAACAAATCATTAGGGCTATTCGAGTAAATTCGAATGCGACTTACTTAACGATTAGGCGAAAATCCGGACCTTTATGCTGGGACCAGAACCGATTATCCAATTCGGTCCATAAGTCAAACGAGAATTTTTCATTGATTGGCTGTTGGTCGTCATACGAATCCGGCTTCTTCACATCAATAATGTCGATTTGGTCGAAAATTTGCTTGAACCGTTGAAATGTGTTGCCGATCATAAAATCATTTGTCGACCCACTGCCGAAATACTGGCCGTCATTACTGAATTTATCACTTAATTTGGCAGATTTACATGCTGGTGCATTGAAACTCTCGTCACTTGGCAATTTCCGTTTCTCTGGAACAACAGTTCTTTCACTGGTTTCGATTGAAGAGGTAGATGTGATTGTTTCGACCGAATCGTCGATCTTGAATTTCCCAATTGTGACATTCATCGATTCTTTAACGTTGCTGTAACGATTAGTATCGATACTGCCCGATTTAATTGCTGTCTTTCTGTGACCGAGCAATTCATACAAATAATTCCAAATATAAGACTTTTGGATGGCTGCATCGCTTTGAACAGTTTCGTTGTCATCACTTTCATCTTCAGACGATGTATATGATTCGGGACTTTCATTCTTGAATCGTCTTATGTGGCATCCAAAACGCATGAAATTCGCATAAACTACGTATTCATTTTTGGTCAGTTTATCACTTCTACCGGAATTGTCGTGTGCGAGAAACATATGATAAGCCCTTTCTAATGACACAATCATTTTGCCCAGGTAGACTTCTAGCCTGTTCTAAAATAAATTAGCATTTGTTAGACTCGATTAGGTTTAATGACATAATCAACACAAAGGCACATACGAGCTCCATGTAGAACAGTGCGACATGTGGTTCCAAATATTGGCCAGACGATTCAAACACATCCCATTTGCCTTGGCGTTTTGTCACTTTAATTTTACCATCTTCGATTACAGCCGTCGAACGTTCGTTTTGCAAAGCAACTCTCTCCATTGATAATACCTTCCGCAAATCATCTGTGTCGGTCAATCGAACGATAATGACAGATTAGAATAGAAGATATTCTCATAATTGATTCGAACAGCTAGAATGTTTTCAATGGAATCTTCACCTTGATACGATTTGATGATGGTTCGCTCTTCTTCGGTATTTATAGGAAATGTTGCCTTTTCACCACGTACCAAATATTCGCCATCAATTTCATCGAACAATTTTCGCTGTGCAATCAACTCGGTGCCATTCAACAATTTGATTCTTGGCTTCGTCTCCGACATTCTTCTGATTGAAAAACGATGTTTATTTATCAAAAATCAAAACGTGAGGTTATTTCACATTTGACACATCAAATGGTAGATATTCGAAACCGATAGAGGGCCATTTCGAATAATGTCGCTTCAAATGCGTACATTGCTGTCAGAATTGCGCTCATTGAAAGACCGCAACAAAAATATTTTGATTTGTTTCTGGTAATAAGGAAAAGCACACGCTGTTGAAAATGTTATCCGAATACCAAAAATTATTCTACAATAACGTTCTATCACAGACGATATCGAGTTGTGGCGAATTTTTGTTTGCCGGCACAAATTTCGGGGATATTTTTGTTTACAGGTAAGTGTTGTGCCAAAAAACAATCAGCAACCGGCAAAAGGTATCAATAATTTTTATTCATGTTTAGCATTCCACAAATTTGCGTGAGCCCCGACGAACATGGCACAGAAATAGAATCGCGTGGAAATGGTGCAACCGGTGCCATACTCAAGAACTCACTGGCCAAACCAATTCAAGTGTTCAATGTGACGGACAATGGAAAAAAGCAACAAGTACAAAGCTTAGCGTTCTACGAGAATTTCCTGATTGTTGGCACGAATGCGGGTCGTATCAGCGGCTATGCATGGTATAAAAATCGCTTGACAAAGAAAACATGGGAAACATTTTTGGCCAATCAAAATTTAGCCGATCAAAATGACATGAACTGCTTTTGGTTGCAAAAGAATGACGGTGTTTTGTACGTTGGATGTGGTGACAATAACATTTATGCGGTGAACTTGGAAAGCGGCAAAACGATTCGCAGTTTTAGCGGTCACACGGATTATGTACATTGGATTGATGGTGCAGCCGGATCCAGTTTATACTCAGCCAGTGAAGATGGATCGATTAAATTTTGGGATAAACGAGAAAAACGATTTGCCAATCAATTGGAACCGTACAAAGATGATCGATTGGAACGCACGCAATTCGGTAAATGGCAAGGTACAGTGTCCGTCACAGACGATTGGCTTGTTTGTGGTGGTGGACCAAAACCAAGCCTGTATCACTTACGTTCATTAGAATGTTCGACAATATTCGATGTCAACAGTACCGTTCACGTTTCTGGATTTCTCGACGACATTGTCTACCTCGGCGGTGATAACGACCATCTGTTTCAGTACAATTTGAAAGGTGATGTGACGGCTAAGATTCCCATTTCATCGTCATCCATTTACTCCGTTGTGTCACAGACGGCCCCCGAAAAATTCATGTCTATCGCCGGTGCCAGCAACTGTTTAGACATCTGTACGAATTTCAATTACAAAGACATCATGCTTAAACTGTATGAAGCACCAAGTTATTCCGCCGAATGAAACTTACCGCACATTGTCATAAGCAAAAAGTTACATTTAAGACTAAATAAATCGCAAACATTGAAATTAAACACTAATTAAAAGCATTTTCTTTTATTTTTGTGATCGTATTGAGAAAAAAAAAATAATTTTGTTGGTGTGAAAAGGCACTCTGAATAAAGAGTAAGTACTGCTTAACGAATGGCCAATAAAATAGTTCAGCTAATCAAATTATTAAATTGAAATTAAACGTTGAATTTTGGACATTAGAAACATTTATTTGACTTAATAATTAAAAAAAATTAACAGAATTTGTTGCAAATAGAAAATTATTTTTTTATGAGTACGAAATATACAAGGTGTATAATATGTTTGTCAAGCGGTGACAGAAAGCGGATAGTTCGAGTTAAAAAAAAATTGTTTTATATCATATCAAAATAAAAATTATAAAGATAATAATTGCACCATTCCAAACGGCAATGAAATTCTTACAGCTTCTTGTTATTGTTTTCTCTTTTTTTTATGTCATTTCAAAAGAAAATTAAATCGAAGGCACGACAGGTATATTCCCAACACTGTCTCTGAGAGTGATTTGTTTTGTATGTATGGGCGTGATTTTGTGTATAAAGCGTTAAATCGAGAGCATACCTTGTGAAAATATAGAACAATTATTCTGGACGTACACGAACATTATATTTAAATATTAATATATTAAAAATCTTCTTTCTTCCCCTTCTCTTCTCTCTTTTTCTCTCTTTTTTTCCAATTTAACATATAAATAATAATATCACGGTTAATATCCCTTATTTAGAAACATTTCTATAGTCTAGATGCTTGATATTTTCATTAAATCTGTGTGTTGTGTCTGTCTGTACATGCTAAATAACAAATCAAATGGCCGTTCTATTTGATAGACGATAATAAAAAATAATAATTTAAAATGAAATGATTTTCATTAGGAGAATCCTTTGATCAACAAAAGGTTTTTTTTTTCGTTTTCTTTTTCTTCTTTGCATCATTTTTGTTTCCTCTCATATGTGACAAAAACAAAATTGATGGCTAATGAAAGGAGAGAGAGAAAAATCAACCGAATCATTTTTTCATCAATGATTTCACTTTTTTCACATATTTATTAAGCAATGTGCGTTTTGGTTCGCTCTCTGAATTGTCGGTCATTGAATATTGAGCGCTCGAAGTGGTTGAGTTGGATTTGGTGTCATCTTGATTTAGCATGCTACTGCTACCCGATGGATTTGGTTCGGAATTAATGGTGTTATTCAATGATGTCGTTGAACCAATGCTACTGTCTTCGCTGCGATTCAAGCATATGTTACTTTTGTTGTCATCGGTTTTAGAATTTGCATTGTTCGTTGTGTTGTCGTCATCACTTTTGTGAATGGCATTTTGCCGATTCGTATCGGCACTAATATTATTTTCCGAGACCCCCTCCTTCAAATGTACACTACTGATTTCCTCATTTCCATCGATGGCATCCAAACTTTGGCTACGAGCTGATTTCGTATCGGGTTTGGTTACTGGCACCGCTTTGACGCATTTATTTATGCGACCACCGCTGGGCAAGGTGGTGGTTAGCCATTTTTGCTTTTGATTTGGTGATGAATTTGGTTTGGTAGTGTTATTTGAATTGGCGGAGGGGGTGGCATCTAGTCAATCTGAAGCACGGCCACTGTCTTTCTCTTTGTCGGAATCATTACTGTGCATTCTTTGGTAGGTCAATGGATTTTGCCGTGACGATGATGCCGTGCTGGGTGTGTTTGGCGTTGCATCGCCACGAAGTGCTGCTCGATAGGCTGCCATTATATTGTCACGTTCACCTCTCATGAATCTATCGAAAAGAAGTAGAATATTCTCAATTAGACTCGAATTTCGAATGGAATAAAATAAAGTTTGAGAAGATACCAACCGCTCAAGCTTATCAACGCAAGCGTCTTGATAGTCATGGATCCATCGAACACCGTTAAAATGGCACACGGCTCGCATGTCTTCTGGCAATTTTTCGGTTTCGGGCCATGCAAAGTTGTCAATTATTGGAATTATATTACAATTTGATGTGAGCGCCGCTACAATTTCCTATTGCAACAAAATGAATCGAATCATTAGCATTATTTACACTTAAATTTCTACATCCGATATATTCGAATGTCCGAAGGCTACTTACTCGATGAACCCAATCTTTGCATTCTTCATCTTCGATACAACGATCGAGTGCCGATGGTGTTAGCACCAAAATAAAATGTTTCGCCTGACGAATGCTGTTCAGCAGATTGTTATCAAATTTGCCCGCCTCCAAACGTTCCACATCGATGAATACTGAGAAGCCGCGCAATTGCAAATGCACTTTCAATAAACTAGCCAACTGAGATCCATTACTCCTTCGATAGCTCACAAATACATCCAATGTTTTGTCCATATTATCTTCGGTGGACAGAGCCAACGAATTCTCCATGCATTTGATCGTGTTCAAAATGCGGAAACGGTGAATGGAATTCTTGATGCCACACTCCATGACCAGTTGATCGTCGGTGAGATTTTTCAATGATTCTTTGTCAACGCCAGCATTTAACATGGAATACGTATAAATGGTGAACTCCTGTCCAATTGATTGCAGGAAATTACAAATATTTGCAACGTCTTTGGAACTGTAATCGGCCATTTTCTTTAGATTCTCCAATTCGCGTTTGAATCGTCGTCGCCGGATTCCATTTTCGATGCCAATATCATCGCGCAAATTCTCTTCGGTTAATTGGAGCAACAAATCGCCGTCAACACGTGAATCGGAGAAATTCTTCTCGTACTCGGCAAATCCGATTTGCTTAACCCATTCTCGGACGTCTTCCACCGACCACAATGGCACTTGTTGCGACAACTTGTGCGGCACTTCTTCGCCAATCAAACGCAATGCTTGAGCGGCAAACTTTGATGCTATCGCATTCGGGCAACTGGCAACCACTTTCAGCGGTTCAATTGCGCCAATCTCACGGAATATTTCGGTGCTGCCTTGTTCCTTCTTTATGCCAGCTTCCATGCAAAAATGAAATGTGGCCAAATTGCGGGCCTCTTCTCGATTCGAGCTCAACACGGGCACCAAACGTTGGAGCCAGTGTTTGCTTTGGCCGTGCGCATGAGCCAAATTCGATTTGGCAAATTCGGATGGATTGTGTGATGTAACAAACGGTTCGACCAAGTCCAATGTGCCCGATTTCAGCACTTCGGCTTCGATCTCTTTGTTGGCAACGAGAACGGCAATGGCCAAACATGCATAATATTTGATGAGGTCATCGGTGTGGAACGCCAACGGGAACAACCAAATGGGAACTTTACGATTGATCATTGCTTCTTGATTATCGGCACCACCGTACAATGAGAGATTGGCCAATGCCATAGCACAATGGCGCAACGTTTCCACATCATTTTTACGGCATTCGAAAAGAACGGCATCCAAACCGCCCATTCGAATTACATCCGAACACGTTCCTTCGCTGTGTTTGAATAGATTTTCCAGAATGCCCGTTCCAACGCGTGAATGATCGGTTGTGGCATGCTTGGTGCAAACACACGCACCGTTCACCACCTTCTCCAAACCATAGTCAACGACATGAGATCGATTTTCGGTGGTTAAACACTGTTCCAGCAGACGCGCCGACGAGAATTGCAATTTATTATCACGTTGCGCACAATTATCCATCAACAAATCCAAACCGCCATTATTTCGAAGTGTATTGCAAAGGCTGTAGCCCAATTGATGACCGTGCGTTGGTACAGCCCATGCTTTTTGTATCACTGTATTGATGGAATCCAAAACGCTCGGCACTTTTGTCATTTCGGATTGTTGCAACATCGACACGTTGGAATTTAAGAGTTGGGAATATTTAACGATGGCCGTTTCAACATCTTTCTGATTGCTGTTCGATGACAATTTTTCCAAATCGTCAAGATTTGACGAACCCTCAAGTAATACATGACTATTCGTTGCTTTACTCGACTGTGACGATGTAATCATGCTGCTGCCGGTGCTGCACATTCCCTTCGTTGTGATCATATAATTGGACTGTGATGCGGATGAAACATGTTTCTCCTGATTGAAAATGCCCGTCGATGTGACGGTTTGTCGTTGTTGTGCTTGTTTCATTGCTTTCTTTTCGGCGCTAAATGTATCACTGTGGATTTTCATCGAAGCTGCCGCTCTATTATTGGATTCCTGCTGTTGAATGTCGCCCGATTTAAATGATCGCGCCTCCTAAAATCCCCCCAGAAGAGAGAAAAAAAACGAAAACATTTTTCATGTTAGTTGTTGTTTAAATCGAAACTGTTACATTATCTCGTCACTCGTTGTATATTGTGACAATAAAAATCAATTAGTTTTAACAGCAAACAAAATCTCCTGATAAAATACACGACAGTGACAATGGGAACACAAGCGGAAAATTAGATGCTCTTAGTCATACTTAATACGATAAGATAAGTCGATGGTTTTTGCGGAATTCGATTCTTTAGCATTTGTCAAACGCCTCTCTGTTAATGGGTTCTGACGAATCTGAATCGTCATCACGTATGCGATGTATATGTGTTTGAAGGAAGAAAAAAGAAACGACAATTGGCGGTGGAAATGACTGAAATACGATAGATTCAATGTTTGTTCGAAAGCATATACAAGGTAAAAACAAAGTAAGATATCACGTTTCAAGTTGATGTGCATGAAATAGAAGCTCGATACAATACACATTAAAGCAACGAATTCCGGGCCGAAAAAAAAAGAATTACGGTATGGCACGGCAATGAAAAAGCGTACATCATTTTCTGTTGTTGTTGTTGGTTTTACCTCGTGTTCAACTTCAATTGGGATCTCACGTACACCTTTATTAAGAGCACTATTAAATGGGCTTTGCGATCGCCTTGGCGACAATGATCGTTCCATTGACGATGGATATCGTGGGCTCATACATGAGCCATTGGCTGATTCTGGATCGGGACTTAAAGGCATTTCCACAATTGGGCTGGGCGATCGTTGTGGATTAAATTCATTGTGAGGCTGTGATCGAAACACCTTGTGAATAGGCCACGGTGCCTTTTTTGACATTTTGGTTTTTTCTTTTTCTTTTTTCTTCTCTTAAATCTGTGATCGAATCCCAAGACTTGAATTCGTCTTCGATGATCGAAATCGAAGAATTTCACAATAATTCTCTTCGAGAAATTTCGCTTTAAAATCCTCCGTTTTTTCTGCTCTTTTATTATTCACAAATCACAAATAATTTCACAAAATAAAACGTAACAAAAAAGAAGAAGAAAAAAACAGATAGAAGAAGACGAGAAAAACAGGGAAAATTAAATACTTTCCCGCTTCTTCGTTTGGGAATTTTCCTCCGAATGAATATGCTCTCGGCTATTTTAGCACACCGCGAAAAATTAAGTTTCGATATATTAATGGTTGAAATGTTCTCAACGATTTCAATTAGTAAGACGTAACGAAAACGAAAACGAAACGCACACAGAAAGCTAGAGTGCGAGAGCGAGAGTGCCGAAAATACGATGGGAATTGTGTAACGATTTAGAGAAAACTGGTCTATTGCAGACCGAAAGAGCGATAAGGGAAGCTTCATTTTTATTTATATTATTCACTATATGCGCGCTCTCTTGTGTTCACACACACACACTCACAAAAGCCGTGCTCGCAAAAATATATATATATATATATACATTGTTGAAGTGCACGCTGTCAGGCAATATAAATTCGTTTGAAAAACCGTTGTAGCGATCGCACATATCATCGAGCGCGCGCGCTCACAAGATTACCTAAAAATAGCAATCACTCTCGACGGACGAAAAATAAAATCCGTTGCTCATCCACAAAAGTCACACCGATTTCTGTTCCGTTTCGCTTTCGTATCGCTTCACTTTAATTTTCAATCTATTCGTATTTGCTCATCCGATTGCGCCGCGTATTGGTGAAAAAACACCATGTACGATATACATTGGTGTAAGTAACATCATCAGAAAATGTCACGCAAAAAAAAGCGAAAATGTTGCAGCATGAATTTGAAAAACGTCAACTGTGTGTATTATAGATACGATATGAATCGTAGACAGAAGGATGTCGATAGTAGATAATGTGAAGTGTATGTGCGTATTTGGCGGCTTATTCATTTACGATCGCTGTATTCAAAAGCCGATTGTAAACATACGACCAAGCGAGAAACACATTGGCAAAAAAGAACAACTCAATTTCCAACAATTTCCGTTTTTGTTAATCAACCGGAGGGTGTAGCTATCATATGCATTGGTATCAAAAAATAAAACATTCAAGAGTGAGTTACCATTCGAATGTAATAAATCCGATGAACATTTGCCGTGTGTCGGAACACCGAATATTGTTTTAACAACCGTGAACTTGTGACCAACATTTGAAAATTGCAAGCACTCAGCATTGTCTATTGCTCTGATTTTCAACGTTTTTTTTCTGCGTTTCTTTCTTCACCACGTTATATTTTGTACTGTTTTATTCATTGACATCAATTCGAATTAGTCAACAATTTTTACAAAAAAATATGTTAAGGCAAGATTTTAAACACAATTTTTTTCCATTGTTTACTACATGTTTTATGTGCGGAAACAAAGGCAAACCACAGTCGACAACAGCAACAATAAAAAAAGACCGATTCCGGTGACATCAACAAACTTCATTTGTAACTAAGGTTTTGGCTTTTCAATTTCTTTTTCTTTTTTGGTAGACATCCTCAAACAAATAGTGAGCGCATGCTCCACTCTTTCACATTCCCATTCGTACAACAGGGACAAAAAAAAGTGCCCAAGACAATTAATGGTGTGATTGGAGTTGCATGCCTTTGCATGGAAAATATCCGTTCGTGCTTGGAAAAGGGAAAATCGATTTCTCTGTTTTTCTTTTTGGTTGTTGTTGCCGTTGTTGTTCTCTACGGATTTTGTGTCATGCGAACTTGCGTGAAAAATCAAACCATTCCAGTCAAATGTGCGTTTTTTTCGCCATCTCCGATTTCAATGTTGTGCTATTGTTCGAGAGGGTGTGTATGTGTGTGTGTTGTTTGGTAATGTGAGTCACGGAATGTGCTTTTGAGACCAACCTTTAATACTGATGCATTTTGTTCGGCTTTTATTCCATCCACTTCGAATTTGTTGCGAATTGCTGACGCTGCCTTTGCTTCTTTATAGTCAATATCGCCCGCTTGTAATCGCTTCATTTCACTTGCATTACTTGTGGCCTACGATAGTCATAAAATAAACCGAATTACATTATTAAGAGGCACTAGCGTTTTTTTTTCTCTCGCTGTTATTTGCATCGAGGGAAAATACATTGTTCGAAAGGACGTTAACAACATTGGCAATAAAGGATGCCAATTTTATGCTTTCATCACATATTATTTACCTGCTCGCTACTGAATCCATCTTTGATCACTTTTGTTTTGGATGCTGACATTGTGCGCTTCTCTTCGAATTTCACGGTATCCGTTGTAGTCAAATCACCAACGGCCACGCTGGACAATTCATTAGATGCGCATGGAACTAACTGCTGGGCATGTCTATGAATATGAAATTGAAGTTTTATTTCCTTTGTTTTTTTTCTCTTTCCATTTATCATTTTTAATGAAGCAACTCATGAATATTTGAATGAGTTTTTTGTTTTCGTTCACCTCAGATCTAATTCTAATTCTCGGCCATTGCCTTCGTCGGGGAAAGTGACGAGAGGCTCTTCATCGTCCGGTACATCGACAATATTTTCTAATGAAGATCTTAATCTCTTTTGCAATTCCGATATCGATGAATTGGACAAACTGATTTCGTCGGCGGTTATCGATGGCGGTTGGGCCATTGAAGCCAGAGAACTGGAAATGAGACACGAGTTTAGAAACTTTTTTTTCTGTTCAAATCAGAATTTTTTTGTTGATATTTACCTTATTTCCGACATGGAATTTTTGATGTCGTTGAGGTCACGCTTCAATGCCATCGCCTTCATTTCGGATGACGATTGAGTTGACGACGAGGAAGACACGTGATGCAATCTTTGTGAGGATGAGGCTTTGGCTACTCGTGATGTTGTCGTACTGGACTTCGTCGATGATGTACTGCTACTGTTGAGCACCTATTCGATGACAATCAGAATGAAAAACATAATTAGTTTTCTTTGAATACATTCCAATATTGGAAAAATATCAAATAAATTTTCCGGTTTCAAAAAAAAGATCGGTAGATTATTATGAGCCCATATGTGTGAATGACCACGATGTATATATGTATAAATAAAATGACTGTTTTGCTTTTTTTCCTTCTTCGAATTGCGATGACTAATACGTTATCAAATGACTTTGTAATGAGATGTGGTATCAAGTTCGCCAACCGCAACAATTGAATTTATGAATGAATTTCCAGAAAACCTTATCGATACGTTTGTGACTTTTGAGCAAATTGTTTACAACTATTTTGAGATAAAAATGAACAATACGTAATAGCTGTGGTTTGACGCTCTTTTTTCTGTTTTTGCGGTGTTAGTGTAAGTAAATTGCATTTTAACTGCTTTTTTGTTAGCCAAAATCCAATTTGTTCTGGTCAAATTGGTGCTTGTTGCGATTAGGATCCTCAAAATAGTTAGTTGTCTGCGTATGTTTGAAGAAAAATAAAGCAATCGGTTTGAAATTCAGCGATTCCAACGAATTCTGCCAGTTTTTTTTTCTAACAAAGGTATGCTAATGCGAATGGAGGATCGCGCATGATGCGCAAATTCTCGTAGGACATAATGTGTCGGTAAACAATGACAAAATGTAGGTAGATTAGCATCTATTTCCAGTAGAAATTGAAGAGCTCCACTTTCCCTTTCTATGTTTCCAAAACCATTTTGAGTCACATTGACAAGTCTCGTTAAATTCTACGAATAAATTAACGCAATAATTGTTGTGATTGGAAATGATTAGGATAGACGCATTTGTGGGTATTTCATTTAGATGCTATCTGTGATTCCTAATTGTTTGTTAATTTGATTTAAATCGAAACTAGGTGTTGTTTGGTTTTTTGTTTTTGTTTTTATTATTTGCATGACTTGCCTGTTGCGAAGATGATGTCGAAGACGACGACGACGACGACGTCTCTTTGATGCTACTCGAACTGGAATTGACGACATTTTGCCGAGTGGTTGTGTTAAGTTTGTGTTTCTGCAGGTTTTCCAGGATTGATGACATTTCCGGGCCGGAATTGGTAACCGCATCTGAGATTTCTGGCATCTGCAAAACACACAGACACACAAAACCAAAAACTCTCAAAAACTCAGTACGGAAGAAAAAACAACAACGAATTGGATCGTCATACACTAATCAAAATTGAATTTATGTGCCGATGTTTCAACGGCCAGAAAAAAAAAGAATACGATGACAGTAACGACGGAAAAATCGAATGATCGTTAAAAAAATTAAGTAAATAAATTTTGAGTCAATTGGTTCATCGAAATTGATGTTGCTAGTTAATTTCTACAAATCGTATTAATGTTTTGTACAAATATGGAAAATGCATGGCTTTGGTCATTTTGTACGTGTTCGTGATTCACAATTTTTCAACTACACACACAAACAAGTTTCTTTTTCATTCAATGTTTGCACGTGAGAGTAAGAGATGAATATGCCGCCGCTTGGTTTTTTTTTCTCTTCTTCTCTTCTGTTGTGTTTACTGTTTTTCTCTTGCCGAGCAATTACTTGTTCGCCCACTTCGATTTGACTGGCATAACAACCACAGAGTGTTCGATCGATATATGTATATATATTCTGCTCTTTTTTTTTCTTGTCATATTCATTCAATTCGCTCTCTTATTTTTCGTATTCCACAAATGGCCTAGCGATGGAACTTTAATTGTCTGCGTTTCGTGCATAGACTACTTGCATGGCAAAAATCGAATCGAAAACTCTTTGTTTCTAATTCAAATTCAATTTTCATTGAAAAGACGTCAATTATTATGTATGTACATGGTCGACCATCAATAGAATAGGGAGTCGTGTTAATAAATGTATGCGATCGAACGGTAAATGTTAAACCAATAACAGCATGTGATGAAATTGAAAATGCTAATCGAGGAATTGATTTAGAGCATTTTAAAAGCTAAGAAACATTCGTAGGAAATGTAAATTTGGCCGTTCGATAGCGTGTTTATAGTATTGTGGATACATTCATAACAAAGGCACGCAGGTCATATTTGTTCGTTTCGAGAGAGAAAAAAATCACATTAATTGACTCAATTACACGGTCAATCAACAGGTTCTTAGGAATTGAATGCAATGATAAACTATTCTGTGATGATTCAACTGTCATGAATGATATGAGCAATCACATTTCAAACGATTACGTTCGCTTTTTTCTCTCCTGTTTCACAATCGGAATCAGAAGATTCGGTGATGGTCGTGTAAACGAGATGAAAAAGTATGATCGGTTATTATTATATGAATGACAAAAAAAACACACACACACACACACACACGCTGTGATGAATCATCTAGCGGCTTTAATGAACCACTGCATTGAAACAAAATTCAACAAGTTTGCACAAGAAAAGGTGTCGTAGACGGCATGAAAGAATCCGGAACACATTTTTGCCATTAAATTTGCCATCAGCTAGTTCAATTTCATAGACATTTACAGCGATTTTCTACTTGTATGGCATTATCTCCGAATAAGGTAGTCGCGAGTAAGAGCGAGAGAAGAGAAACACAAAAGAGTATCGAAGCATTGTTAATCATTATTATGATTCATAATGTGACTCGACGAGCCATACACAAAACTCACGTCAGACATCACAATCGTGATTTGGTGTGTGTATTTGCTTTCGAACACCCTCACATAACCTTTCATTTAGTTACCGGTAAATGAATATGTGCTTTCGTTTGTTACCTACAATAACGCAGCGTTTTTTTCTTTGGTTCAATATACAATTATTTTCTCTGCGGTCGATCGTACACAAAACATAAATACACCCGAACTGGGTCGTTAAGCGGGCTAAAAATCACTTTTACTCAAATGACCATCATAAATGATCGTGATTAGGTACATTCTGACGAATTGTGCACCGCGTACTCACAATTTGATCACACTCACAAAATAATAATTTGCATGTTAACCATGTCGGTGTTTTTTTTTTGTTTACATCGTCTTTCTTCTTGCTGCTCGTATGAGAGCGCACCTCAACAACACTTTATCTCTTCTTTTTTTTCTACATACATGCTAATTACCCATTAAACCCAATTTTTTTTTCTTACTTACACTGTACTTGTCACTTTTCATTTGGCTTTGTGTGTGTTGTGTGTGTGTGTGATCGGCAAATATAAGATTTCTTGGAATTTTTGTGTATTGAATGTTGTTTTTGTTCCTTCGCACAGATCCGACACACAAAACTGCGTGAATTTGGGTCGAATTGAAAATTTATCTATAGCGGTTTTGCTTTCACTTCAGTTCAAAATTAATTGGCACTAGTTTTTCATTTCTTTTTGTGTGGCAAACTCGAACATAAATATGTATAACAACAACAACAACAATGAAAAAAAAATGATCACCAAAAAAAGAGTCAAATTCAATTTAAAAACATTTCATGTTCAATCTGCCACCAATCGCCTCGAAAATCGAATGAAGTCTGTTATTTGAAAACATTGAACACTGAACACTTTACTCAATTTCTTAACTCTCATTCACACTTTTCCATCAATGGATTTATCCGGAATGAAATGTTCGATCTTCTTCACAATAGTCCACAGTACACACAGTGAGCGAACAGAAGAAAAAAAATCTATAATATTCATAGAAAATCCGGAAAGTTCGGTCGACAACACGAAGAAGATGAAAAAAAACAATTTACATAAAATTAAAGAAAAACAGCGGCAACAACAACAATTATTGTTGAAATTATTGAAATTTTTTTAAAATATATATTGTAAAAAGTACATAAGCGATCGCGGATTTCAGAATCGACGTTTGCATTCGTCGTCTATGGATCGGAGAGAATGAATATGAAAAGAAAACATCTAAAAAGATATATCACATTATATATTCATACAAGCCCTAATACAACCACATTCATACGAGAGATATTCCGTACTGTTTTTTTTTGTTTGAATTACAACGACGTCGTGTCGATCTATACACAACATGTTTTTGGCACATGAAGCAATCGACTATGGTCGCATGGGGATATATGTCTTTGGTAAAACAAATTTGAATCTTTACGACAACGGCAACGGCGGCAGCAACAACACTACTACCAGTAACACCAGCAGCAGCACTAGCACAAAATCAACGCTCTTTAAGCTTCTGAATAAACTGTTCTAATACCGCGAGAGAGAAAAAAACATACACGATTATTCACTTAGTTTTGAATTTGAATAGTAGCAATCGCAAGCGAATCCGTCGCGCAAAACACCACGATACATACGAACCGAACATATTGATTCATTCACTGGATGAGTTTTTTTTGTGTGTGTTTCATTTCATTTCGGTTTGCTGTTTCAGTTTCAATTTCTATTGATATGTGTGTGGCGTGTGTTTTTTTATGTCTGTCGCTCTCATTCTCTCTTGTAAATATATTGAAACAAAAGAAACGCACACACACACAATTTCTTAGCGATGCAAATACACACAAAATTCACATTTTCTGTCACAAACAAAAAAACGAACACCAAAATATAGCTCAACACAGGAAAGCAACAAAAATAAAAGATGTACGTATGAACAGAAGATAAAGCTGAATTAAGCGTGAGAAAACGGGAAAAGTATGTGGAACGGGAATCGAAACAACACACACAGAACAACACACGAGAGAGATAGAGAGTAGAAGGGAAAAAAACACACAGCATGCGATATATGCGCAACAACGTTGACGGATCGCCTTTAACGATATGCGCATCGACTAAACATGTATGCGTAACCGTATAATATGGTAAAAATGTCGAATTCTTTCACTGAATTCACCTTTTATTTGATATTATTTGTTGTTGTTGTCGCTTTTGTTTGTATTTCTGGTTACGGAATGTTATGGGTCGCATTCAATGTGCTATTCCATACATATACGGCCCACTGCGATTTTAATATCAAGCTTAGACGCGTGACATTCGGTAATATTTCTTTTTCTTCTCGTGTTGTTGTTTTTTTCTTTTGTTCTTTGTGTATACTAATCGCTATTTATTATGATGTATCTCTAAGTACGAACGTCAAAAATCCCTTTTGTACTCAGAATTTTAACAACACCAACAACAACAACAAACTACACACTACTATACTAATTCCTGTTGACGTACTTAAACTTTGGCTGCGATGCACTTAAGTGCAGGATGAATTGTTTTCGGTTTGGATTTTTCGTTGTTTCAGAAGCTCAAACAAGGGATAGTGTGTTAGCGAGAGATGCGCGTTGAATGAATGTTACATCTCACGTCTTCAGTAGAACCGATTAAACTGATCGGTGTTCTATCTGCGTGCCTATCAATTTCAAGCGGAATAAATAAGACATCCACGCATGTTGCTCAAATCAACGGTTATCAACGCTTTTCTGCTGATTCTTTTATCAATGAAATGTATATACATTCCAGTTTCAATGCGGTGATTGCCGGCTTTCAAAAGATGCAAAAAAAAAATCAAACAGTTGGCTGTGATGCTTTGCTGTCTTCCCTTTCCACGACTTTCTCCTTGTACAAATGCTCAATGAGATCAACTCATTTATTATTACTATTTGTTTGATGTCATTGGCAATCAACGATCATTTCGTAATCGAGTTACTAAAAATGTTCATTTTTCTACACATTTCGATGTGAAAATAATGAAAGAAAAGAAGAAGACGCAGCGGCAGCAGTAGCAAGCAAAAAAAAAATGACAGAAATATTTTCTGGCCTTTTTTTTCTTAATTCGGTCTATTACGCAAATGAATTTCTTTTTTTTTTTTTGGTTGATGGGCGTTTGTCTTTTTTATAATGTGGTATCGGCCAACGCATGCTCAAATTCGACGGTAAACATTTGTTAAAAATATCCATAATTTGGAAGAGCACAATATAAATATTTAATTAGAGGTGCTTAGCTACAGTTTCTGTATGTGACTTTTTTTTCATTTTGTCTTCAATGATCATGGAGTCTGTGTGTGTGTGTGTGTGTGTGTGTGTGTGTGTGTGTGTGTGTGTGT